GAGTCACAGCCACCTGATCCCCCTTCAATGCCCCTGGCCCCTTTGCTGTGGTCCCTGGAGAATCACCACCTCCCTCTTCCCCAACAGGGAGTATGGTTTGAAAATCTCCAGTGTGTGTGCTTCTGGGGAGGGGGAGAGAAGCTAAGCATCTGGAACCTAGGCTTCCAGGGGGGCTCTGCTCCCAACTCACTCTGTGACCCGGCAAGTCACATCACCTCTCAGATTTCAGGGTAACACCTGTAACTCACAAGGGGACCCAACTTTCTGCCATCCCAAGCTGCTGCTTGCTTGTTGGGCCAGGCTGCTGCCAGAGCCTCCTCGAGCAAATTATGCTCTTCCCAGATCGGCTGGAAGCAAAAGAAAGGAAAATAAAGAAAGGAAAGAGCAAGGCTTACTCTGCCCCTAGCTCTCAGCTCACCGACTGGGTGTAGAAGCAACAGTACCTCTCATGTCAGTCATCAGCTTGAAACTTTGGGATTACTCCTCCTCAAATGGGAAGGGTTAACTCCCTCCCTCTCTCTCTCTCTTCCTCCCTCCCTCCCCCTTGCCCTACCTAGCCCCCTGTATGTGTGTGTTTCTCAATCTCCCCTCTTTGTCTTGCTGCTTTCTATCAGATATTTGGACTTTTATCAAACACAAGTACTATATTATCAACCAAGAAAGCACTCAATATCTGTTTGATTGTTGAACTTAAAATGTTCTTTCTGATAAACGAATCCTGCTTCTTTCCATAGACTATGATGTCTTAAAAACACATTTACACAGAACATAATTCAGTTTTTAAAAGAGCTATAAAGCAGGTTTCTCCACAGAGATCAAAGCCCCACTTCCTGCAGGTCATATGCAGGGCTGTATCTATTTGTCTGCAGAGATAAGAAGGGCCAACATCCAAAATGAACTAATTTCAGAGCACGCCCAGCAGATTGGTGATAAATGCCTTTTAACAAGAAAGCCCTATGCTCTGGGGTGTAATTACTGAGTGATGGTATGTTAGGATCATTTCAAAGAAATGCTCCCCAGGCAGAAACAGGGACTCAGGAGTCAAATGAGGAAGGGTCTTAGGTAGCAGGACAAAACTATTTACCAGGAAGGGGGTGGCAGTAATTTCTGAGTCATGTGACACACCAGCTTCCTGGTCAACAAAGCAACTTCTGACTCACACCGACGATGAAACTACCCAAGGGATTAAGGTTTTTTCCACTCAGGTCTCATTTGGGACCAGAATCAGGTCTTCCCCACTGAATTCTGTCCTTTTTCTCCATAAAGGGCCATAATCATGATAATGAAAATCATTTTGTGAAAGCATTTTCTAGGCCAGCACTGAGTTAGGTGTTTACTTGTTCAACCATCTTACAAATCTTTATTATCAAGCCTACTCTGTGCCAGGCTCTATTTAGGGTGTTGGGGATACAGTGATGGGTAGAATATAGAAATTCTATCTTCTCATGGGCTCACATTCAAGTGGGAAGAGAATTTCAAAATGAGCAAATAAAGGGGTGCCTGGGTGGCTCAGTTGGTTAGGCATCTGATTCTTGATCTCAGCTCAGGTCTTGATCTCAGTGTTGTGGGTTCAAGCCCTGTGTTGCTGGGGATGGAGTCTACTTAATAAAAAAAAAAAGCAAATAAATATACAATGTTAAGCAATTAAAAGTGCTTAGGAGAAAAATAAATCAGGCTAAAGGGGTAGAAAGTGAAGAGGGGTACTATGTCAGATAGAGTAGTATAGTCTTCAGGATAGGGTATCATCCGAGAGTAACCTAAAGGAAGTGAGACATCAAGCCATAGAGAGAGAGAGAGAGAGAGAATAGTCCAAGTAGAAGAAATACCACTGGGAAAGGTGACAGCAAGCTTGGTATGTTGGAGGAACAACTGGGAAGTCAGTAGGTATGGTATAGAATGAGCAAAGGGGAGAGAGGTAGGACATGAGATCAGAGAGGTCATGGGCCTTGTAGGAAGGAAGGATACAGACATGGGACTTTATTCTGGCACCAATGGAGAGTCTTGGTTTTTTTTTTTCTTTAGAACAGTTCTGGCTACTATGGGGAAAACAGAATTTAGGACAATGGTGGAAGCTGCGATGCCATTTAGGCAGCAAATGGAACAGTCTGGGTGAGAGATTTCAGTGCTAACCATGAGGATGGAGAAGAGTGGCCCCACTGTGAACATATTTCAAAAGTGGCAGCAACGTATTTGTTGCTGAATTGACTCTAGAAGAAAAAATAGGTCAAAGATGATTCCATGAATTTTGGCTTGAGCAAATGGGAGAATTAGTGGTGCCATTTACAAAATGAAGATTTGAAGGGGGAGCTGGTGGGGAGGGATCAAGAATTTGGCTTTACCAAGATGTGGTATATATATACAATGGAATATTATGCAGCCATCAAAAGGAATGAGATCTTGCCATTTGCAACGACGTGGATGGAACTGGAGGGTATTATGCTGAGCGAAATAAGTCAAACAGAGAAAGACATGTATCATATGACCTCACTGATATGAGGAATTCTTAATCTCAGGAAACAAACTGAGGTTTGCTGGAGTGGGGGATGGGGTGGGAGGGTTGGGGTGACTGGGTGATAGACACTGGGGAGGGTATGTGCTTTGGTAAGCACTGTGAATTGTGCAAGACTGTTGAATCTCAGATCTGTACCTCTGAAACAAATAATGCAATATATGTTAAGGAAAAAAAAAAGAAGAAGATAGCAGGAGGGGAAGAATGAAGGGGGGAAATCAGAGGGGTAGATGAACCATGAGAGACGATGGACTCTGAAAAACAAACTGAGGGTTCTAGAGGGGAGGGGGGTGGGAGGATGGGTTAGCCTGGTGATGGGTATTGAGGAGGACACATTCAGCATGGAGCACTGGGTGTTATGCACAAACAATAAATCATGGAACACTATATCTAAAACTAATGATGTAATGTATGGGGATTAACATAACAATAAAAAAATTAAAAAAAAAAAAGAATTTGGCTTTACCACGGGTGTGCCCCGCCCCCCAGTGCTCTTAGCTGGCCTCACTAAAGCCAAGAGCATGCACTGTCCCAGCACTCACCCCTTGCATCACTAAAGCTGTGGACATGCCCCACCCTCAACACTCTCCCACAGCCTTGCTAAAACTGGTGGGAAAGTGCATTCACTCAGGAAACACCTAGTGATCACCTGTCTCTGCTGGCCAGAGGGGGCTTGTGTTCCTGGTCCCCCTGGGACTACAACAATCAGAAAGACAGTTTAGAGCACACTCAGGGCACTCATGCACAGAGACTGAAACACATATCCATTCTGCCTGTGAAAAAGGCCCATTTACTTGTGGATAGGCTTCAGGTTTGCCACACATTTAGAGGTTACAAAGGCACTCTCAGGGAATGTAGGCAGAAAGACATCATTTTTACAGTCTCCTGTGGCTTTGCCAACGCTTGCAGGTACTTCCCAGAAAAGAGCTTATATACTTGTCTGAAGCCCTGATTCTTTCAACTGTCATCCAGGGGATACCTCCAGATCTCCAGAGGTCAACAGTTGCAGTTCCACAGGACTGCATATACTTACAAGCTGCTGCCTGAGGACCTGGCTTCCAATCAGCCTGAAACTACGTGCTAACTGAGATGACTCCCTCTGGAACACACTTGGCACACCCTCAACAACTGGAACCTATTGGAACCTATCAAGAATAAATCAGACTACTTTGACCATAATAAAGGTACAAGAGACAACTAAGAGGTAGGGCAAGGTTGAAAGATAAGTTTCCCCTCCTACACAAGGCCACTCCTTCAAGACTGGGAGAGGCAGCTGTTTTTCATAATACATAAAAACAAACACAGAGAGTCAAGCAAAATTAGAAAACCAAGGACTATGTTCCAAACAAAAGAACAAGACAAAATCTCAGGGGGAAAAACACACACACACACACACACACACAAACCCTTAATAAAACAGAGATAAGTAATCTCTCTGATAAAGAGTTCAAAGTAATAGAAAGATGCTCACTAAATGCAGGAAAAGGATGGATGCACACAGTGAGAACTTCAACAAAGAGACTGAAAATATAAGAAAGTACCAAACAGAAATCACAGAGCTAAAGAATACAATAACTGAAAAATACACTAGAGGGGTTCAACAGAAGAAACAGAAGAACAAATCAACAACCAGGAAGACAGGGCAATGGAGCTCACCCAAAGAGAGCAGCAAAAAGAAAAAGAATTTTGAAAAGTAAAGATATCTTGGGGTGCCTGGGTGGCTCAGGCAGTTAAGCATCTGCCTTTGGCTCAGGTCATGATCTTGGGGTCCTGGGATCAAGCCCCATATCAGGCTCTCTGCTCAGCAGGAAGTCTGCTTCTCCCTCTGCCTCCCACCCCCCAACTTGTTTTCTCTCTCTCTCTCTCTCTCTAATAAATAAATAAAACCTTTTTTTTTAAGTAAAGATACCTTAAGAGACCAATAAATAAAATCTTTTTTTAAAAAAGTAAAGATATCTTAAAAGACACTATCAAGCAGAATAACACTCACATGATAAGGGTCCCAGAAGGAGAAGAGAAAGGGGCAGAAAACTTACTAGAAGAAATAATGGCTGAAAACTTCCCTAACCTGGGGAAGGAAAGTCTGGGGGAAGGAAACAGACATCCAGATTCAGGAAGCAAAGAGAGTTCCAGATAAGATGAATTCAAAGGGGTCCACACCAAAACACATTATAATTAAAATGTCAAAAATAAAAATAAAGAATCTTGAAAGCAGCAATAGAAAAACAACTTGTTACATACAAAGGGATCACCATAAAACTAACAGCTGATTTTTCAGTAGAAATTTTGCAGGCCAGAAGAGAGTGGCTTGATATAGTCAAAGTGCTAAAAGTAAAAAACTTTCAAACAAGAATATTCTAATCATCAAGTCTATCATTCAGAATTTAAGGAGAGATAAAGAGTTTTTCAGACAAGCAAAAGCTAAAGAAGTTCATCACCACCACACTGGCCTTATAAGAAATGTTAGAGACTTTTTTTTTTTTTGCAGAAAAGACATTAACAAGAAAACATATTAAAGTAAAAATGTCACTGGTAAAGGTGAATATACAGTAAAGGTATGAACTACTTATAAAGATAGAATGAAGGTTGAAAGAAAAAAGTAGTAAAAATTAACTATAACTACAATAATTAGTTAAGAGATACACAAAATAAAAAGATGTAAAAGGGGCGCCTGGGTGGCTCAGTCGGTTAAGCGTCTGCCTTCGGCTCAGGTCATGATCCCAGGGTCCTGGGATCGAGCCCCGCGTCAGGCTCCCTGCTCAGTGGAGAGTCTGCTTCTCCCTCTCCCTCTGCCTGCCTCTCTGCCTACTTGTGCTCTCTATCTCTGTCAAATAAATAAATAAAAATCTTAAAAAAAAAAAAAAGATGTAAAATATGACATCAAAAACATAAAACATGTGGGGGGAAATAAAAATGTAGAGGTTTAAAATGTATTCAAATTTAAGCTGCTATCAACTTAAGATAGCATATAAATAAATAACATATAATATCAACTTATTATATATATAGCCTGCTCTATGTGAATCTCATGGTAAAAAAAAAAAGCAAAAACCACAAAGCAAAAACCTATAGCAGCTACACAAAAGATAATGAGAAAGGAATATAAGCATAACACTAAAGAAAGTCATCAAACCACAAAGGAAGAGAACAAGAAAAGAAGAAAGAAAGAGAAAGGAACTACAAAAACAGCCAAAAAAGAATTACTTGAAATGTAAATGGACTAAAATCTCCAATCAAATGACACAGAGTGGCTGAACTGAGTAAAAACAAAACAAACAAAAAAGACTCATCTACATATTGCCTATAAGAGACTCACTTCAGATCTAAGGATGCACATAGACCAAAAGTGAATGGATGGAAAAAAGATATTCTCTGCAATGGAAATGTAAAGAAAGCTGGCGTAGCTATACCTGTGTCAGACAAAATAGACTTTAAAACAAAGACTGTGATAAAAGACAAAGAATGGCATTACATAATGATAAAAGGGTCAATCCAATGAGAGGATTTAGTTGTAAATATTTATGCATCTAACACAGGAGGACCTAAATATATAAAGCAAATACGAACAGACCCAAAGGGAGAAATTCACAGCAATACAGTAATAGTAGGGGACTTTAATACTCTACTTACATCAATGGATATATCATCCAAAGAAAAAATCAATAGGGAAACACCAGCCTTAAATGATACCTTATACTGGATGGACTTAATAGTTATATACAGAACATCCCACCCAAAAGCAGGAAAATATACATTCTTCTCAAGTGCACATGAAACATTCCCTAGGATGGATCACATGTTAGGCCATGAAACAGATCTCCATAAATTAAAGAAAACTGAAATCATATCAAGCATCTTTTCCAACCACAATGGTATAAAACTAGAAGTCAGTTACAAGAAAACTGAAGAAATCACAGATATGTAGGGATGAAACAACATGCTACTGAAAAACCAATGAGTCAATGAAGAAATCAAAAGGGAAATTAAAAGAAAACACCTTGAGACAGATGGAAATGGAAATAAACAATCCAAAATTGATGGGATGCAGTAAGAACAGTTCTAACATGGAAATTTATAGCAATACAGGCCTACCTCCTGAAACAAGAACTCGAACAATCTAGCTTTACATCTAAAGGAACGAGAAAAAGAAGAACAAACTAATCCCAAAGTTAGTAGAAGGAAGGAAATCATATAGAGCAGAGCAAAAATAAATGAAATAGAGACTTAAAAAAAAAAAAAAAAAGAAAGGATCAATGAAACTAAGAGCTGGTTCTTTGAAAGGATAAACAAAATTGACAAACTTTTAGCTAGATTCACCAAGAAAAAAAGAAAGAAGACTCAAATAAAATGAAATGAAAGAGGAGAAATTACAATTGATACCATAGAAATATGAAGGAAGGATCATAAGAGACTAGTATGAACAATTACATACCAACAAACTGGACAACAAAGAACATATGGATAAATTCCTAGAAATATACAATCTTCCAAGACTGAATCATGAAGAAATAGAAGATCTGAATAGACCGATTATTAGTAAGGAGATTCAATCAGTAATCAAAAGCTCCCAACAAACAAAAGTCCAGGACCAGATATCTTTACTGGTGAATTCTACCAAACATTTGAAGAAGATTTAATAGATATCCTTCTTAAACTATTCCAAAAAATTAAAGATGAGAGAACACTTCTAAATGTGTTTTATGAGGCCAGCATTATCCCAATTCCAAAACCAAATAAGGAGACCATAAGAAAAGAAAATTACAGGCCAATATCCATGATGAACATGGATGTGAAAATCCTCAGCAAAATATTAGCAAACTGAATTCAACAATACATGGAAAGGATCAAACACCATGATCAACTGGGATTTATTCCAGGGGTGCAAAATGGTTCAATATCTGCAAACCAATGGGATATACGACATTAAAACAATAAGGTATAAAAATTATATGATCATCTCAATAGATGCAGAAAAAGCATTTGACACAATTCAACACTGTTTATGATAAAAACACTCAACCAAGTTGGTAAGAGGGAAAGTACCTCAACAAAATAAAACCTATGTATGACAAACCCACAACTAACATCATATTCATATTCCTGAAAGCTTTTCCTTTAAGACCAAGAAAAAAAGAAGGACGCCCACTTTCACCACTTTTATTCAACGTAGTATTAGTAGTCCTAGCCATGGCAATTAGGCAAGAAAAATAAATAAAAGGCATCCAAATGGGGGGTGGGGAGGAAATCCCACTATTTGCAGATGATTCAAATAATACTATATACAGAGAACCCTAAAGGCTCCACACAAATACACATAAAAACCCTGTGAGAACTAATAAATGAATTTAGTGATACTGCAGGGTACAAGAATCAATTTACAAAAATCTGCTGCATTTCTATAAACTAATAATGAGCTATTGAAAAGAGAAATTAAGAAAACAACCCCATTGATAATTGCATCAAGAAGAATAAAATACCTAGGAATAAATTTAGCCAAGGAGAGGAAAGACCTATACACTGAAAACTGTAAACCACTGATGAAAGAAACTGACAAAAACACAAATAAATGGAAAGATATTTCCTGCTCACAGATTGGAAGAATTAATATTGTTTAAATGTCCATATTGCCTGAAGTAATTTACAGATTCAATGCAATCCCTATCAAAATTACAGTGGCATTTTAAACAGAAATAGAACCGATAATTTTAATATTTGTAGGGAACCACAAAAGACCTGGAAGAACAACAATCTTGAGAATGAAGAACCACACACAAGGCATTATGCCCCCTGTTTTCAAATTATACTACAAAGCTGTAGCAATCAAAACAGTATGGCACTGGCATGAAAACAGACACATAGATCAATGGAAAAGAAAAGAGAGCCCAGAAATAAACCCACACATATATGGTCAATTAATTTGCAACAAAGGAGCCAAGGGAAAGGGTAGTCTCTTCAATAAATGGTGTCGGGAAAACTGGACAGTCACAAGCAAACACATGAAAGGAATTCACTATCTTATGTCAATCGCAAAAATTTACTCAAAGTGTGATTAAAGACTTGAATGTAAGACCTGAAACTGTAAAACTCCTAGAAAAAAACACAGGCATAAGCTCCTGGACATCAGTCTTGGCACTGAATTTTTAGATTTGATTCCAAAAGCAAAGGTAACAAAAGCAGAAATAAACAAGTGAGATTATATCAAACCAAAAAGCTTCTGTGCAGTAAAAGGAACCATCAGTGAAACAGGGATGCAACCTACTGAATGGGAGAAACTATTTGCCAACCATATGTCCGATAAGAGGTTAATATCCAAAACATATAAAGACCTCAAACAACTCAATAGCACAAAACCCCACAAACAATCTGATTGAAAAATGGACAGAGGATCTAACTAGACATTTTTCCAAAGAAGACACAGACGGCCAACAGGCACATGAAAAAATGTTCAGCGTCATGAATCATCACGGAAATGCAGGTGAAAACCACAATGAGGTATCACCTCACACCTGTTAGAACAGCTTCATCAAAAAGACAAGAAATAACAAGTGTTGATGAGGATGTGGAGAAAAGAGAGCCCTTGTGCACTGTTGGTAGGAATGTAAGTTGGTGCAACCACTGTGGAAAACAGTATGGAGGCTCCCAAAAGATTAAAGAGTAAACCTACCATATGATCCAGCTATTCCACTTCTGGGTATTCATCCAAAGGAAATAAAAACACTAATTCAAAGAGATATCTGCACCCCTATGTTCACTGCAGCATTATTCACGATAACCAACACATGGAAATAACGTAGAGTATCCACTGATGGATAAATGGAAAAGAAGATGCGGTTCATATATACAATGGAATACTACTCAGCCATAAAAAAAGACAACCTTGCCATTTAGAACAACACAGGATGGGCCTTGAGGGTTGTTAGGTTGGCCGGTGATGCAGGTGGTAAAGAATTGCTCCAAGAGTAGACCAACACGCAAGACAGAGTTGATTCACTTTCCAAGGGAGGAGAGGTGCCAGACATTAAGAGAAATGTTGGCCCCGAGTTCCTGTGAGGCTGGGCCTTTTAAGGGGTTTTTAAGGATGTGAGAGGGTTGCAGCTGCATCCGTGGGGAGGTGGTGAGGGGGTCCCATTCTTGGCAGGGGAGAGCAGAAGGTGGCAGGTTTCCAAGCGGCTCTGTCCAGGGCTTCATCAGGATGCCGGTTGTGGTCAGGCTAGAGAAGATGTTTTGTAGTTGGGGTCTACTTTCCGAAAATGTAGGGCACCATGGCCTGGGAAAACAAAGTTAGGGCCAAGTGCAGACACCTGTGAGTTTTGCCTGTAAGCATGGTTGCGGGTGGCGGGGGAGGGCGGACTTTGAATAGATTCCTCTCAAGGGTATTATGCTAAGTGAAGTCAGGCAGAGAAGGACAAATATTGTATGATTTCACTTACACGTAGAATCTGAAAAACAAAAAGGAAGAAACAAACCAAAACTCATAGGCACAGAGAACAGATGGGTGGGTATCAGGGGGGTAGAGGGTTGGGAGGTGGGCAAAAAGGGTGAAGGGGGTCCGATGTATGGTGACAGATGGCAATGAGATTTAGTGTGGTGATCACCTAGTAATATACACCAACATCAAATTATTATGGTGTATACCAGCAGCTAATGTAATGCTCTATATCAATTTTATCTCAATTTTTATTTATTTATTTAAGATTTTTATTTATCTATTTATTTTACAGACAGAGAGACACAGCAAGAGAGGGAACACAAGCAGGGGGACTGGGAGAGGGAGAAGCAGGTTTCCCACTGAGCAGGGAGCCCGATGTGGGGCTCAATCCCAGGACCCCGGGATCATGACCTGAGCCGAAGGCAGATGCTTAATGACTGAGCCACCCAGGTGCCCCTCAATTTTTATCTAAAAAAAAAAATTGGCTTTGGACAGGTTAAAATGAAATCCATGTAAGTGTTGGGTGTGGGGAGAGCAAAGAAGAGGCTGAAGACTGAGCCCTGGAGCAGATCATCATGTGCTGGGAAAATGAGGAGAAACCAGCAAAAGAGGCTGCGGGAGAGTGGCCAGGGAGGCTGGGCTCTGTGGCTGAAGGAAGCGAGTATGTCAAGGAGGGGGGCCTGATCAGCAAGGTCAAAAGCTGCTGGTAAACGGAGCCATGGGAAACTGAGGCTCCACCTTGGAACCGACAAGACGGACATAAATGGAGGTGGTAGCTGACCTTGACAAGGTCATGATCTGTAAGCCAACATGCAGGCTGCCAGCTAAACATTACTGTCTCCATTTTACAGATATGGAAGCTGAGGCCAGGAGGAGCCCCGTGAGGCGCCCAGGGCCACATAACCAGTGAGCGGTGGGGACACGACAGGGACGCGGATGTATCTGACGTCACTCCACTCACTGTCAGAGTTTTCTCGTTCTGGCCATCCAGGCTCCTTACCCCCGCAGCCCCTGAGAAGGTGGCCTTGAATTTACAGCCAAGTGGGCAGTGTCAGCATGAGGTCCTTCTAGACAGTAGCTTGATCCAGCTGGAAACATAAGCCTGGTGTTTCATTTGCGTGGTTTGTATTCCTGGAACTTACTAGACTTACTCTCAGCTCAGCTCTTAAGAAAAATGTCACTGATTCTCACTGGACCCACAGGTGAGCAAGTTTTGAGGGCCAACTCCACCACCCTTGATGTCCAGTCCCGAATTCTATAACCTCTCCAGCCAGAGAGAAGTCTGCCAGGTCCTGCCAAGGCTTGGCCCCCCTGCTTCCAATGTGCTCAGCACCTTCTCTGGGTCCTCCTTGTCCATCATCCCCTTGAAACTAGGGCAAAACGGCAATGAGTGCATTTCGATTTCTTCATCTCTAGAGCATCTTACTGATTATGGTGAACGTTAGCTACTTTGGAAATGCATTTTTCAGCTTATAACACTATTTTTTCAATATTTTATGATGAAAAACTTGAAAGAGAGAGAGCAAAGTTGAAAGTATTGTGCAGTGAACACCCATATGCCATCACCTCGAGTCTACATTTAACATTTTGTTCTGCTTTCCTTCTATTCCTCCCTCTGTCCATCATCAATCTGTGTTATTTTTTTTTAAGATTTTTTTTTATTTATTCATTTGAGAGAGAGAACAAGACAGAGCAGGAGCATGAGCAAGGGGAAGGGTCAGAGGGACAGGGAGAAGCAGACTCCCCGCTAAGCAGGGAGCCCAATTCGGGCCTTGATCCCAGGACCCTGAGATCATGACCTGAGCCGAAGGCAGACGCTTCACCGACTGAGCCACCCAAGAACCCCAATCTGTCATTTTTTTGACGAGTTTTCAAATAAGATGCAGACGTTAGGACCCTTCACCTGTAAACACCTCAGCGTGTATATCATTAACTAGAGTTTAATATTTGCTTATGGCTTTCCTTTTTTGAGATAAAGTTTGCAAACAGAGAAATTAACAAATCTCAAGCTTAATGTATTCTGAGTTTGAACAAATACATACACACCCGGGGAACTGAAACCTCCATCAAGATAGAGAATGTTGTCATCACCCCAGAAAGTTCCCTCATGCCCTTCCCCCCTCCCACCCCAGAGGCAACCGCTGATCTGATGTTTTTCACCATAGATGATTTTGCCTATTCCAGAATTTCCCGTAAATGGAATCCTCCAGCATGAGCTCTTCTGTGCCCGGCTTCCCTGGCTCAGCACAATGCTTTTGCAACTCACTAATGCAATAGCGTGTTATTAGTAGTTCATTTCTTGGGTTTTTGAGGGTTTTTTTGTTTTTGTTTTTATTTTTTTGCTAGTAGCATTCCATTATGTGAATATATCACAGACTGTTCATCCATTCTCCTGTTCACTGCAATAATTATTTGGATAAAGGAAATGATTCTTTAGTGAATTTCTAGTTGGGATGCTTCTGCTTTTCTGTTAAGAATTCTCTCATCATTTAAAGCAAACTGGGTCTGAGTCATGGCTGTTAGAAGCCGTGTCTTTGACATCAGAAAGCTGTGGATTGCTATTTCAGTGCCGACCGTTACTAACCGGTGACCTCTTGCCAGTCACCTCGCCACCCATGCTGCGTCTTACTTTTCCCATCTGAACACTGGGCATGAAAACATCTAAAGGATGTGGGACGCTTATCAGAATGAGAGTAGCTAGTTCATTCCTTTGCTCATTCAGGTAAGAATTAAGTATCTTATGGTTTTTGGTGCTATTGTAAATGGAATCGTTTTTCTAATTTCTCTTTCTACAGTTGCGTTGTTAGTGTATAAGAAAGGTTACACCAGTTAGAATGGCAAAAATGGACAGGGAAAGAAACAACAAATGTTGGAGAGGTTGTGGAGAAAGGGGAACCCTCTTACACTGTTGGTGGGAATGCAAGTTGGTAGAGCCACTTTGGAAAACAGTGTGGAGGTTCCTCAAAAATTTAAAAATAGAGCTACCCTATGACCTAGCAATTGCATTCCTGGGTATTTACCCCAAAGACACAGATGTAGTGAAAAGAAGGGCCATATGCACCCCAATGTTCATAGCAGCAATGTCTGCAATAGCCAAACTATGGAAAGAGCCGAGATGCCCTTCAACAGATGAATGGATAAAGAAGATGTGGTCCATATATACAATGGAGTATTACTCAGCCATCAGAAAGGATGAATACCCAACTTTTACATCAACATGGATGGGACTGGAGGAGATTATGCTAAGTGAAATAAGTCAAGCAGAGAAAGTCAATTATCATATGGTTTCACTTATTTGTGGAACATAAGGAATAACATGGAGGACATTAGGAGAAGGAAGGGAAAAATGGGGGGGGTGGATTGGAGGGAGAGATGAACCATGAGAGACTATGGACCTGAAAAACAAACAGGGTTTTAGAGGGGAGGGGGGATTGGTTAGCCCGGTGATGGGTATTAAGGAGGGCACGTACTGCATGGAGCACTGGGTGTTATACGAAAACAATGGATTGTGGATCACTACATCAAAAACTAATGATATATTGTATGGTGACTAACATAACATAATAAAATTTAAAAAAAAAAAAAAGAATTCAGTAACAGGTGCCTGCTCTGTTCTGACCCTGCTAAGCCCTGGGAAAGCAGCGGGAATCAAAAGGAGGTAGGTCTCCATGGGGCTTTCAGACGGGTGGGTTATGCAGACACCAGACAGCTAGCTACACAGTTAATGATTTAATTGTCATTGTTATCAGCGCTGCAGGGGGAGAAGGGGCAGGTGCTGGGAGCCTGTAAACAGGGTTATTCAAGAGCAGAAATAGGAGCCAGGGTTAAATAAGCTTAAGGGGAAGCCTTCCGGGCAGAAGGAGCCAGAAGGAGCCGCAGAGCTCCAGGCTCTCCGGAGGGATGGAGCAGCACGGGCTGGAAGGACTGGAGAAGGCTGTGTCAGGAGAGCGCAGGTGGATATGGGTGGTGGAGGGGAAGGCCGAGGAGCAGGGCATAAGGGGAGGCTGTCCAGACTGGGTTTCGTAGATGGCGTTCAAAGCTCAGAGCCATAGGCAGCAAGGGCAGGCTGGGCTGGATCCTTCACACAAGACTGCCAGGGGGCGCTGCCTGCTTTGGTCACTGTTACAGCCCTAGTGCTCAGAACAGTGCCTGGATCGATTTGGGGAAGGAAGGGAGAACGGGAGGCTTGATCTGAAGCCGAGGTTTGGGATTTGGGTCTGACACAGGTCGCTGGCTGCAGCGCAGAGCCCAGGGCAGGAGGAAGCTCGCAGAGTGCATGCATTTGCTTGGGTGGCCACTAGCAAAACAGCATGGGCTGCAACCACGGAGTGTATTTTCTCACGCTGCCGTAGACGGGAAGTCCGAGACCAAGGTGCCATCAAGGGGGCTTTTCGGAGAGATCTCTCCCCCTGGCTTGTAGATGGCCAGCTTTTCACCGTGTCCTCTGACTTTCCACCGTTCCTGCCCGGAAGAGAGATCTCTGGTAGCTCTTCTTAAAAGGCTGTCAGTCCAGAGGATGGGTTAGCCTGGTGATGGGTATTGAGGAGGGCATGTTCTGCATGGAGCACTGGGTGTTGTGCACAAACAATGAATCATGAAACACTACATCTAAAACTAATGATGCAATGTATGGGGATAATATAAGAAAAAAAAATTAAAAAAAAAAAAAAAGGCGGTCAGTCCTATCAGATTAGGGCCCCACCCTTGTGACCTCATTTAACTTTATCTCAGGAGAGCCCCCCCCACCGTCTCCCAAAGCAATCACCACTGGGGGTCAGAGCTTTGATATAGGAGTTGGGGGGGGCAGGGCCACAGTTCAGGCCACAACAGGGCGGACGCAGGGAAACCAGTTAGGAGGTTAGGGAAGAAATGCTGACGTCTTGGGTTAGGTGTTGGCACTGAGCAGAAAAGTCTACCAGCATCGGCGGTGGACTTTCACGGGGAGGGAGGAGTCGGAGGTGCCCAGGAGAACACATAGGTTTCTGCAGTGAATTGAGTGGTGGCCCCCGAAAAGATCTGTCCCTGTCCTAACCCCTGGGACCTGTGTATGTGATCTTATTTAGAAAAAGGGTCTTTGCAGATATCCAGGTGAGATCATCCCAGATTACGGGGCAGGGGCGGGGGAGGCTACATCCAACAGTCCAGTCCCTCTGTCTCCCTATAAGAGACAGAAAAATGAAAAATGAAGACAGGGACCAGAGAAGGCGTTGTGAAGTGACAGAGCCTGGAGTCATATGACCACAAGGAGCACCCCCCCCAAAGGTGAAAGAGGCAAGAAAGGAGTCTCCCCAGAGCCTTCGGTGGGGAGTACGTCCCTGTCGACACCTTGATTTTGGACTTGCCATGTCCAGAAAGGTGGAAGAATACATTTTTGTTGTTTTAAGTCACCAGTTTTGTGATTAACCAGCTAAGGCAACCCTAGGCAGCTAATCCAAAGAGTAACTGAATGTCAGGTGAAGGTGTCACCTGGGAGAGGGGCGAGCTGGGGGGACCACGGCTTGTAGGATGGGAGGGAGAGTCTAGATCGGGTGTGAAGGACCCAAGGGCAGCAGGCCGGCTCACCGTAAATACGCAATACCAGATGGCTAGTATCATTATTATTTACTTTCGGCATGCCCTGGTGTTAGAAGAAGTGATTGCTTCCCTGGAACATATCTGATCTGCCCGGAATCTTGGGGTGGCAAACAATCTGCCAGGACGCGGCAGAGCTCGGCTCTTCCCCTGCAACACTGCCCTTTGGACACCAGTATTTCGGGTACAAAGTTCTGTTTGCACCTCTTCACCTCGGGCTGAGCCCAGCTCCGCACCCACCCAGAAAGTCTCTGGCACAAGCAGGCAGGTGGAGCCGATGGAAACAGCCAGCCGGCCCTGCCCTCCTTCCCTTCTTCCGCCCACAGATCCACCACTGGTAGCAGGAGTCCGCCATCTTGTGGACACCCACCGTCCTAACAGCCTGGTCCTAAATCAGGTCGGGATGAGAGAGAAGCTGGCTCAAGTCCCTTCACTTTTCCCACTTCCAAGTACAGCTTCGTGTCATCAGGCTCCAAAGGTCAAGGGTTTGGGCGGAACCATCTTTCTGGTCTTTAAAAGAGCTAAGAGGCAAGCACAAGGGCGTGGAAGCGGGCCATGAGGGATTGCCCCTTCGGCATCCGGGGGGTCTGCAGGTCATCCTTTAAGCCCCCCCTCTCCAGTTAATGGGGCGGGAGCGGCTGTTTGGTGGGAGAGAGAGCGTTGGGCCTACTTCCCTCTCTGCTTTCATCAACCTACAGGAGGCCTCTCTATGCCCCTGGACACGTCCAATTCTGAGTCACAGGTCAACAAGCTGGGGTCTTTCCCAAGGACTGTATTTAAGAGCTAGTGTGTGCCTCAGTGTCTTCATCCATTAAATGGGGATAATAACAGGACTTGCCTGATTGATGTGTTGTTGGCATGAAATGAGTTCCTCTACACACAGTGCTTAGAGAATTGCCTTAACGCCACGGGCTCAGTACGAGTTAACTACCACAATCTACACACACAACCCCCCCCCCCCAACAACAAACCCAATCTTCCAGCAACTTTCTTACGGCAGTCCGATGTTTCCCCACTCATGGTTGGATACCACCAGTATCCAAGTAAGCCAGGTCCTGTGGGAGAGAAATACAAATGAGGGAGGTACGGTCCTTACCTCCTGCAATTCATGGGACAGTCCGGCAGCAGGAAAGGTGCCCATACACTCGGAATGGTGGCTACAAAGTCAAAACTAAGTCGTGCTTTTAAAAAGCAACAAGAGCAAGTGTGAGAAGCAGGAGAAGAGGATGCTTGGTCCCACCTGAGGACCAGGTGCTCACCCTCAAGGGAATCTGTCTGGAGCCGAGAGCGGGTTCTCATGTTTTATTCCCCCCATGTGTCCCGTTGGCTTTATGTCCTCGGCCACTCACTCACGTGAGCTTCTTTCTCCCCGTGGCCACTGCCTATCCTCCCAGCCTAGCCGGCGTCACGTCTGTCCTGGTCTATGGCAAGTGGGTCCTAGCCAATCCCTGTGCATCCTATGGGCTCTCCCAGCCTCCACCCAAGCGCACCTCCCACGCTGCCGCCCCTGGCTCAGTGTTCCGGGGGGCTTTTCACTGCACTTGAGAGAAAACCGACCTCCTTAACCTGCACCCTTCCAGCATCATCTCTCTTCACTCACACGGGGCCCTGCTGAGCTTCTGGATTCGGGGCCTTCCGACACGCTCCTCTGTCTGCATGAGGCACTGCCCCACGCCTTCTCCATCGGCACTCGCCCTTCATCTTTCGGGGCACCCCCAAAAGTTCCCTCTGCAGGAAGTTTTTCGAAGCCCTTGGGAAAAAACCCGATTCCCCTTGTTGCACACATCCCCACAGCTGTCCGCGCTTTCCCACAATTCCCTGCGGGGATCACCTGCCTGTGTGTGTGATTATTGTTCCGTCTGTCCACACCACGGGGCAAGGACCGTGTCTGTCCTGTTCACAGTCACGTCCACGGTTATCAGCATAGCGCCTGACACGTAGGAAGGCCTGAATATTTAGTGACTGTGTGAAATCCATGGCCCCAGTGATAGGGAGCAGCGTGATGCATTGAAATACATGTGGAGGGTACGCTGAACTGTACATATTCTCGCTCTGGTGGTATAAGGGCACATCCAGGATTTCGAGGAACGTTATTTGAGCCAGGCATCTTTCATTGTCAATCAGTACGAATAAGCCTTAAGGCTTTCATACCACGGTCTTAAGTTGTTTTGCAAAAGCACATCAATCCTTGCCACGGTGAGACACACGTCTGATTTCAGAGACCTTGGGAGGAAGCGGTCTTTACAGCTGGGAGTAGAACCCCTCCATTGTCCTATTCCAACGCCACTCCCTGCCAACAACAACACACCCCTTACGCAGACTCAGCAGACTGGAGAGAAGGCTGGAGATCCAATGTGGTGGACGGAGAAAGGTGGATGGGACACTCTCTGGCACAGGGCAGGATTCTTGTTCCCTGTCATCTCTCCCCAAACACGTCATCCAGGGGGCATCGCTCACACCCACGTTCAGAACATTCTGCAGAGCGAGGGTCCCCTCACTGATGAGGATCCCGCTGCAGACTCTGTCTCTCCCGCTCCACCCCACTCCAGAGTGGCTGACCACCCCTGGCAGGACTGATGATGGGGACGGCTACAAGGTCATCGAGTCTATACAGGAGAACGGCACTCTCAGGATGACGCCGCACTTAGAAACTGACCAGATGGCTGGCGCCGACACGTCAGCTCATTCTCCACTCCGTAGGCCAGGCGGGTACGAGGCCATTCTCTCTGGAACTGGAGCTCAGGAATCACAGCAAGGAGAGGAACGGAGCTTGTGAATTGCCTCTCAGGCCCCATCAGCCTCCACGAGGACAGCCTGGCAAGGAAATGTGAGTGTCCGTGGCCAGGGGAGCCAAGCAGCTCTCCGGCCTGCGCCCGGACGGGCTGCGTCTGCTCTTGCCCCCCGGATGGAAACGACTCTGTGGGTTTCCACTGCCGCCAATCCCCCTTTGCTGACACTCTTTCTTTTAGATCTGTTTGAGCCCTGATCCGCTCTCCCTCGATCCCATGGCCCCTGGAGGCCGGCTGTGTCTTTGTGCGGGTTTGCCGGTCTCTGCTTGGTCTCTTAGCCGTGAATTCATAATCCCAGTTGCAGAGAACAGGCAAGCCCCTCTCTTTGCAAGTCTTCTGAGGACAGAACCCGTGTGCTGCCCAGTCCCCTCACTCGGCACCGGAGGCTGTCACCGCTGTCGTGATGCTTTGCTGACCTGGGAGCCGGGGGCCAGCCCAGCAGGATGAAGGCCTTCCCGTCCACATGGCCTCCTCCCTCCAGCCGTGTGACATTGCACTGAAAAAGGAAGATGAAGTGACTCTTGATGAAGAGCTCTCTGGGAGACTGGATTCATTCAAACTTGTTTTGTTTCTCATTACTTTTCAGATGAGGCCTTCTCTTCGCTCTCCTCGCAAAATCTGGACAAACAGGATTTCAAGCATCAGCTTAACTACTGAATCATGATTTTACAAGTCACCATTCGGTGTCACGGGGGACAAAAACCCAACTCACATAGGCTTATATGTAAAAGCGGGACTTCATTGGCTAACAAAACTGAAGGGTGGAGAGGCAGTTCCCAGCGACAGCCGTGGATGGTTCCAGAACCTCAAGTGATGGCATCAGGTACCCACCCTCTTCATCTCTGAGCTCAGATCCCTCTACGTGAGTCTGCCCTCAGGAAGGCTTGCTCCTGGTAGCCTCAGCATACACAACATCAGCCCAACCCACTCAGCAAAAAAGAAAGCCCCTCTCTAATAGTCCAGCTAGGGTTACCAGTCTCTGCAAATACTGCAGACACATTTATACTAAAAAATTATTCCTTGTTGATCTGAAATGCAAATTCTGTACTTTAACTGGCAACTTCAGTCCAGCACAGGCCCCAGGACTGAAGCTGGCTAGTTTGAAACACATACCAGCCCAGACCCAGGTGCTGTGGTCAGGAGGAGGGGTTAGGCCAACCGCAGGCCAAGGTCACCGCCCTATCTTTGGAAAGGGGGCAGCATGGTCAGCCCTCTGAGTATCCACACGCCGATAGTGGGAGATGGGTCCCCTCCCAAATAACTGGGATGCTAACCCGTGAAGGGGAATGAAGCCTGCACACGTGAAAACAACGCATGTCCACACAGTGATCCGGAAGGTCCCAGACAATAGTGAAAAGTATAAAACTCCACGGTGGCTTTATGGCACACCACTTTTCACACCGTTCCTTCTTCGCCACGTACACTCCTGTTTGGTTGGCCGAGCAGGTACTAGAATCCCTCCCTGTATGAGTTTGCTACTGCCGCCATGACAATGCGGAGCTTAAGCAGCAGACAGCTATTTTCAGACTATCATTCTGGGGGCTGGAAGTCCAAGGTCAAGGTGTTGACAGGGCTGGGTTCTTCTGAGGCCTCTCTTTTGGGTTTGCGGATGGCTGTCTTCCCGCTGTGTGTGTCATGTCTCTGTGTCCTAATCTCCTCTTCTTAGAAGGACACCGGTCATATCGGATTAGGACCCACGATAATGACCTCATTTTAACTTAACTACCTCTTTTAAGACCCTTGCTCCAGTGAAAGGTGAAATAAAATGGAGTCACTTATGTCAAGGGGTTTTACAAAGGGAGCCAGGAGATCATTAAGGAGGTGGGCCTTAAGCACATCCTCACTGGGTAGAACTCCTGCACCGGGCCAAACCACAAATATGCCAAGGACTCTGCATGATCACCTGCAGCTGGCTATAGTAATGGACTTTTGCTTAGTGGTAGCCTCGGCAACCAGTTATGTCTAGCCAACATTTGCTTTCGGCCACCGGCAGCAATCAAAATTCTTTGTAAACAACCTATGCAAGCATTCCCTCGTGTCTTTGGAAACCTAACTCATGTTCTCTCATGGGACACAATTTGGGCTGCGACCTGAACCTGTGCCCCCCAAATTTCAATTAGGGTCACAACGTCAACATATGAATTGGCATGGGGATGCGATTCAGCCTAAAACGCTACCCTCTCCTTCATTTATTTACTTTTTTTTTAGGTAAGGAATTGGGCAGTGAGGGTGGTCACGACTTGTCCCCCCAGTCCCAGGGCTGATTCAGTGGCGGAACTCACTAAGGAGCCATGTCCTCTGCCTGGCCTTTATCCCCAACGTGTAGCCTGCCCTTGGCCAGCCTGCATGCTCCCTTCCGGAAAAGCACTCAGCAAATCCACCCTCCTGGGCCCTGCACTCAGCACAGGGCCAGGCACCCAGCAGGTGATGTTCTTGAAATAAGCATTCCTTAAAAGGAATGAAACAGGAAAAAAAAAGTCCCTGAAGCATTTTAGGAGATTAAGCTAAAAGGAGAGGAGGACAGGAGCACGTGCTCATGATTTGAAGTGATAAAGACTCCTTAGAACAGCAAAAATGATGAGGCCTATGGATGTGTAAATGAGCCTGGGGAAGACTAATCAGAGGGTAAATTACAAAACAAAAAAGGACCGTAAAACAAGTGAGAGGGGAGAACAGTGAATATTTCAGTGTCTTTTAGTTCATAAGAAATTCATGAGCGACCCGTGTGGAAATTTTGTTGGTTTTGGTGGTGGGAAAGAATTGTAAATATGTATAATATGTAAATACCTTTTATAATAAAAGCCCATGAAGATAAATGAGCCTGTCTGCAGAAAAGCTGGAAGCTGTGTAAGATGCCAGAATTAACTGTCCTCACTAAGAAATTACCATAATGCTTACGGGGCACTGAAAGTTCCTCCCGCTCTGGAAAGAAATGCATAAATACTAATCAGAAAATGCACACAGACCCAGCGCCTCTTTCTTTCTCCACCACCCCCCCTCCCCAAATCTCTCTCTTTTTTTTTTTTTTCACGTGAGGAAGGCAGCCTTGATGACCAGGCAGCAAAGATGGACTGACCGGGTTCAAATATGACCTCCTTCCACCACCCACACCCTATGCTGAAAGTGGACTCCAACCACCTCCAAGCTGACCTCACACTTTCTAACTGATCGCGTTCTCCTTTCCAGCTTCTCTCTCAACTGGGGCAAAAGACCCTTCCGCAAAGCACCCGGTGATGGGAACCGAAGCACCGGTTCAAGCAGTAAGGACTGCCCGGAGCCAGCAAGACCCCGCCCACGACTGACCCCAAGAAAATGGCCCAGCCGACCTGCACGCCCACCTGCACTGCACCAGAGCTCGCACACGCATCCCTGTCCCTCACTTTCCTTATGTAAACCTGGAAGGGTTTTCAGCACTTTGGAGACAGACTTTGAGCGGCCGTCTGTGGTCTTCCCGGTGTCGGCCTCCCTGAAATAAATTCCTTTCTTGTTTCCCCACCACTCCGCTCCCTGCCTTTAGAGTTTGCCAGCGGAGTAGTGGCCAAATCTGGTCTGTTTGGGGACCCCGGAGCCAGGTGCTCTGCGCCCCCGCTACGTTGCTATCTTGGCCAAGTCATCCAGCCGCTCTGGGACCCGCTCTCCTCGTCTGTGAAATGGGGACACCACACCTTCCTTCCCCACGTTTTGGGGAGACTCTAGTGGGAGAAGTAGTAAGGCTCATGTAGTGCCACCTCCCTAGCCGGCGAGCGGCGGCCAGCGGCCACTCAACACCTGGGGACCAGAGAATCTGGCGCAGGGTAGGTCAGGTCCCAGCGAAAGCAAGCGGCTCGGCTGGTGCGCGCATCCGCGCTGGGCGCCCGCCCCTGCGCCAAGCCCCGCCCCATCCCAGCGCCGAGCCCCGCCCGAGCCCCGCCTCCAAGCCATCGCCACGCCCTGTCCCCGCCCCCACGCCGAGCCACGCCCCCGGCGCCCCGTCCAGCTCGGCCCCGACGCCCCGCTCCGTCCCCGACGCCCCGCCCAGTGCCGAGCCCCGCCCCGAGCTGTCGGAGCCCATGGCGCCTGCGGCGGGGCGCTGGGCCCCCGGCCTGTGGCGGGCCTGCAACTGGCTCATGGCCGCGTTCTTCGCGCTGGCGGCCTTGGTGCAGGTCAGCGCCCCGGCCCCGGGCGGCGGGCGGCGGGCGAGGGGACCGCGGGCTCTGCAGGGCGCCGGGCTTCGAGCTCTGCCCCCGGGCCCGGCGCGCGGTGTAGACCAGCGCGGCCCTTTCCGGCCGCAGGGCGGGCCGTGTACGCGGCGCACGGAGATTGGGGGTCGCGCCCCGGGGCCCCCACCCCACCCCCCGGCCGAGACGCAGGTGTCCACGTGACCGCCGGACCGCTCGCCCGTGCCACGTGCTGGGAGGAGCGGACGAGCAGACGCAGCCTGGGATGGGGACGCAGCCTGGTTCACGGCCGAGGCCAGGCGGGAGGCAGACAGAACCCGCTGTGGCGCGGGTACCCGCTCAAGGTTGCTTTGGGACCTCCTTCGTAGGAGCGGCCCTTAAGACTGGAGGCCCTTACAGCACCTTTGTCAGACTTCAGTGCGGACACAGTCGTGTGGCTGTGCTCAGCCAGAAGCCCCTCGACCACCACGATCTGCTAGACTAGGTCTTTTTCCCATTTTGTACCCTCGCCGCCTGGTGCAGCGTCTGGCATGAAACGCATCACTAGGATGGATCCAAGAGCAGACCGAACGGAGGCCTGCAGCGCACAGAATGTCTGCTAATGCCTGATGTTTTGTTATTCCAGGTAAACGACCCAGACGCAGAACTGTGGATGGTGAGTATGAGCTGCTTTCCAGGAACTGCGGAACGGCACGGAACACACAGTTTGATCTATCTGGCCCGCCTCCCTGCCTTTTGTGCATAAAAACTTAGAAATCAGATCATTTGTAAGCCCTTTTCCCTAAAATATCCGGGGACAGGGATCAGAGTGGTAATGTAATGTGCGTGTGAGAATTCAGACTCTTACAGAGACATTAGGGGCCTTTTGGCAGTATTCCCTTTGAATAAAAATGGGCCAACTGAGGACACTTTTCTGAAGACACACAGTAGAACAGTAGACCTCCTAAAGTCAACTGAGCCATTCCTCATGAGTTTTTTTTTACCCAGAAACTCCAACAAACATTTGACCAGAAAATGGCAGGCTTTGGGTTTGCAGTTCTTCTCATTCAGTGAGTTATGTTTATAAAAAGTAACTAAAGCCCATAAAAATCTACAGAATACATTTAATCAATGCTCTGGTTGAACTATTTGGAGGAGGAGGGAGATCATTCTGTACATTTTCTGAAATATCTGGATTTTGCCCAGTTTCTTTGAAAACAGATACATAAGACTGTGCAGTATCACCAATGAGATGATTTTCTGCTTTGGAATAATACTGACTGTGTACAGATTAGCAACAAATGAAAGCATCTGGATCTGTAATGTGAAATTCTGGTCAGTGTTTTAAGTGCAGTAGAACTCATTCTGACATTGCTTATTGTCCAGATTCACATGCCTTTGCATCGAATCAAATTGCCTCTTCCTCAGCACTGTGGCCCATATCCTGAGTTCCAAATACTATTTCCCTGCAGACAAGTCTCCAATACCCAGCTTAATGTAGAATTTCCAACACTGACCCCTCCAACACCCCAAACTCCTACAGCGTCTTTCCCTCCTAAACCCCCTCTCCTCCTCCTGACTCACTCCTTTCTGTCAACAGCAGAATCATCCTCGGGGTCATCTTTGCTCCAAACCACAGGCATCTCTAACACCTCTCAGTTCATTACCACCACCTCTGAGATCCTTTCAAAAAATAAATGAAGAACAAAGCAATCCAGCAAAACCCAATCTAGGTTTAACCGCTTATCTGTACGGTATGTGTATACTTTACCTCCCACTTCATGCTTAGGGACATAGCATGAATAATAATAGACACCATGTCCCCACAGACATCCTCCGTCCTCGCCAGTTTCACTCTCCATCACCTCCCACGTGGACTCCTATAGTAGCTTCTTAATTCTTGGAGCTGCGTCTAATCCCCTGCTCTCCTTGAACAATTTCCACATTATCACTTCCTGCTTCAGAAACTTCCCTCATTTCCCAAGAGCACTGAGTTACAACTCCCCAAGTTGGCACTCAAGGCCCACCACGGTGTGGTTCCAATCCACCTTCCCACCGTGGCCTTGGAACCCGAACCACCTATACTACTACTGTGTCTTGCCCCTAGAATTCCTGTACGTCCTACCCAAGCTTCAAAGTCCATCTCAAATGCTGTGTCCCTCAAAAACTCCCTCTCCCTCTTCCCGATAGGTTCCAACCGTCCTTTCTTTGAACCTTTGATGCTAACACATTCTGCTTTACTTCGAGTTGGTTCTGTACATGCCAGCTCCTAGGAGACCAGGGACCAGTACCTCCTTCTTCTTGGTGGTCCTCAGGCAACCTAACGCAGAGCCTTCCCATGGCAGCCCTTCCGTATTGACTCTTGAATGAAAGCATGCACAGATGAGCCAATACTAAGTCAACGGCACCTGACTCATTTTCAAGTCCCCTACTTCATCTTGCTCATGGAGGATGCCTATATCAGGATGCATACAGGAGCAAGTGACAGAAAATCTGACTAGCATCAGGTTATAACAATAGAGTATCTCACTTAACCAGAAATCCAGAGGCAGCTGCTTAATGGCCAACAACGTCATCAAAGACCTGGGCTTTCTGGGTTCCTTCTCTGCCACTTCCAACGTGTGGGCAATATATTCTCTCATGTCTACAGAATGGCTGCTGCAGCTCCAAACATCAGGCCCAGACAAGAGCATCCCAAGCAGGAAGAAACAAGACAGGAGCAAAACACTTTTTCCTCCTGTGCTTTCTTCCCTTTTATCAAGGAGGAAACGTTATCCAAGAAGCCCTTCACACAGGCTGCTGTTCAGTGTGTGCATACCAATACAGTTTATGGTCTGGAATTCATCCTGCTTGGTCAGTGTCCCTGCAGAGTGGTTGTTAAGATGCCCTGAGTATCAGCCTTGCCCCTACAAGACTTTCTTACATTTCATGGCTGGAGCATGATCACCCCTAGCTGAAGATGCTGGGAAAACAAATTGGCTTTTTCAGCTTTTACAATGGCAGGTGGACAAGGGAGAGAGACATGAAGAATGAACGCCATGGGGGGGCCCCTGGCTGGCTCAGCCGGTAGAGCCTGCGACTCTTGATCTCAGGGTTGTGAGTCCGAGCCCCATGTTGGGTGTAGAGATTACTTAAAAAATAAGATCTTGGGACACGTAGGTGGCTTAGTCAGTTAAGCGTCTGCCTTCGGCTCAGGTCATGATCCCAGGGTCCTGGGATGGAGCCCCGAGTCCAGCTCCCTGCTCAGCGGAAAGCCTGCTTCTCTCTCTCTCTGCTTGTGTGCACTCTCGCTCGCTCACTGTGACAAATAAATAAATATTTTTAAAAAAATTTTTTAAAGCAACAAAAAAAGAATGCCATGGTACTCAAGACTATATAGTGAATTAAGTATTGTAAATAAATGATACTCTAGGTTTAAAAAATGCACCAACATAAAAATAAAAGTCCATTATAAGTGGGTTCTACAGAGTTCATTGTTGAGTATGCTGGGTATTATTTTACCTTGTATACTAGAAACCATTATTTTCAGTCTCTTGGTCCTCAAAAAGAATTTTTTTATCTTATTCGAGATAGAGAAAAGCATTTAAGGATGGTTGTTCTGTTCATGTGTTTACGATATAAAGAAATAAAAAGGTCTCAGACCCCTTAATCTGTTAATGACAGATATCTGATATATTTGAGTACACATTAAAAAAAATATATGTATCTCTGCCGAACACTTCTTACGGAGAGCACAGGTAAATGTGGTGTGCTGTGCGTGTAACTGCTCTCTCTCTTCCTCTCCTTCTCAGTGGCTAGTCATGTAGGTTTTCATTAGGGGAAAACTAACCCCTTACTGCTCCAAGCATGGACCTCAGAACAACAGCATCCCCTGCGAGCTTGCTAGAAAAGCAGAACGTGGGCCACACCCCAGACTTCTGGAATCAGATCTGCATTTTAACAAGCTTTCCAGGCGACTCATATACACACTGAACTTTGGGAAGCCCCGGTCTTACCCCTCAGTAGCATGAATGCCTTTACCTGTGAGAGACAACCAGACTTGCAAATGTCCATCCTGGCCATCATTAGGGGTGGAGTAGGAGAGGTGAACACAGGGTCTGTAATCCAGATGCCCTCTCTCCCGTGATCAAGACAGAACTGTTTCTGTGGTGAAAACAAATCACGTAACACACACAGCTCTGACAGCTCCCAATAAGGGAAGATGTCTGACATGCGCATCACAGTTGATACAGTGAAGCAGCTACGTTTCTTGGAAACCCACCATGCCTCCTGTACACCCACGAGGCCTATCCTCCTTGCCCTGTGCCCACAACACACACGCCACAGCAGGTCTGACTCGAGTCCGCTTGCTGAGCACGAGGCTTGAAAACGGGGCCTCCGCAGGGCCCGCCCGTCTTCCAAACTCCCAAACTGCTTGTCAGCAGTTTCCAGAATGAAGAGCCTGATCTTACTGATGCACACACTGTCAGTCAGCTTTCTGAGGTCTCACCATCTTTCTGTGCTTCCTAGATTCCTCTGAACATCTGAATCGGGCATACTCCCTAACCCCTGTCCTCTCCCTCCTCGCTAACAGGTGGTATACATGATACCTGCGATGCTGAGCCTGCTTGTGGGACTTAATCCTCTTGTCACCGGTATGGACCCCGGATTCTGCATGGACATGCAGCAAACCAGACTTCTGACAATAAGGACAGACTCCTGGGAGAGAAACGGGGCCCTACGGGTCTCCTCATTTCTGATAACAAGAAGGGCGAATTCTAATCTAGATCACCCTCACCCATCTTCAGGCAGACTTCACAAGGACCTGCCACACCAAGACAGCCTTTTTAGCAGCTCGGACCCCGAGATCGCTTACACCGGTGTAGAACAGGAGTTCTGCAGTACAGCCCATGAGAGAGAGGGCCTCGGTCACCACGCTGATTTCTTATGCCACCACGCTAATGGAAAATCAGCAACAGGGCACGAACCTTGTGTCTCTCTAGTCAGTGGCCCTCAGTGTCCAATACCACTCCCAGTAACCACTTTCACACTTCGAATCCATTCAACACGCGTGTATATGGCCTGCTGCTTATTTAGGGAAACGGTTTATAATGTCCATACAAATTTCTAGGTTTTTCATTCATGCATCTTGCTCTCCCTAACCTTCCTCTGTACCGTCATAGTACGTACAGCAATTTACTGCATGCTTTTATGTGTCTTCCCCTGCTAAGCTGTAAGCCCCTTAAGAGTGGGACTGTGTCTAGCCCATCTTTGCCCAAGCCTCCCTGAAATATGGCCAGGAAGATGGTAGGTACTTAATGCTTGTGGAATGTGAATGGATGGCTCTAAGACAGAGGCTTTATCATATATTTTCCTGCTCCTTGGAATATATATATATCCATCCCAGGTGGGTATACAGGTAAAAAAAAAAAAAAAAAAAGTCGCTTAAAATAGCTGGTTTCTATCACCCACAGGCTGCTTACCTCAATGCTGAGCAAAACATAGTGGCTTTGCTTTTTAATGGCCCTAAACTCTAAACAAACCGTAAGTTGGACAGTTTTATACCATAAAACAGTGTCTTATAACCAAAAAAAGTACATTTTACATTGTGTGCTAACATTTTCTTATTAATAGGGACTGTCAGTCCTGATGGGTTACTCTTCACTGTCATGAAAGCAGCTTCCTGCCCAGTGGGCCGTCATACTTCTCGGGCCTTAGAAGAAAGACCAATGGTTCCCAGCTGGGTGGGGAAAACTCTTGTCCCCTGGATGCACGGGCTCCTTGTACGGCGCCTGGAACTCTTGTCTGCATCTTTAAGGTGTATTAGTTCGGGCTCCATTAGTTGCAGGCAAGGAAGAAACTCAACTCAAATGGGCTATGAGCTGAAAAGGAGACGTACTGGGATACTTGGCTGAGAAAGTCAGGGGTGGTGCTGTTCACACGCTGCTGGTGGCTCAGAACTTGAGCTTCTCTGCACCTCGCAGTCCCACCGTGTGCCACCCTGACTTCAGTCCTGGGCTCCTTGATGGTAGCCCGGCAGCTCAAAGTTCACTTCTTCGTGATGCTCCGTCCAACAGAAGATAGAACCTACTTCCCAGATAGTTCCGCAGAAGTCTCAGAATTGGACTGTGGTTCCTGATCTGTCATCTGTTCATCCGGAGCCAAATCACAGTTGCTAAAGGGATAAAATGCCAACTAATCAAGCTAAGGTCCAATGGTCTGGGACACATGGCCTGGGTGGCTCCCCAAGGAAAATAAAGGGTAGTTGTCATAGAAAGGGGACACGCTGGACAACCAAAACACTAAACGTCCACCTAAGTTTATTCCTACTGCTTTAACCTCTGTGATGTCCCTCAAAACAAAACTTAAAGAAACCCCAGCTTTTTTTTAAGAAGGCTCCACACCCAACGTGGGGCTTGAACTCATGACCCCGAGATCAAGAGTTGCACGCTCTGCTGACTGAGCCAGCCAGATGCCATCCCAGCCTTTTCTGAAGGCTTTATCTGAAAGCAGACTATGGCAGAGCAGATATGAAGAGATCGTTTTTCTCTGGGGTGTGGTTCCATGATTAACAGCACCGAATCTCTATTTTTAGGCAACTTAATTTGGAAGAGTGCCTCTGCAATACACATATTCTTTTGTATCGCGTGGGCTGTCGGCTTGGCCTGCCACCTCTGGCTTCACTCCCGACAGAACATCTTACATGAGGAAGAAGGCAGGTGAGCCGTGACTTTACTTTTGCTCCTTGGAAGGGGTGGGGTAGAACTGAGAAATCTGTTTCTCTGTAACCCCTTATCCGCACCACGATGACTCAGCTCCCCCAACTACACCCTGAGGAGCAGGGGAGATATTAGCTCCTTGATAAGCTGAAGAAGCAGGAGATAAGCCAACACCAGGTACCACGTTCCGCAACCACGGCCAGAGGCAGTCAGCACACGCGTTATATTACCGTCAGGCAGTTGATCTTGGCTTCTTACAGTGAACGAGCAAGGACGCCATACAGTACTACTCAGTCCAGAATGCTGATCATTCCATCAGCATTCTGATTTAGTTGTGGTTCTGGCCAAAATCTTCTCTGCAAGTGTGATCAGCCACTTCAGAGGTCAGTATGTTAAGTCAACCTCTGTCAGCCTTGCCCGGCTACGTCCCATGTTATCTCCTCCCTTTGCCAAGGCCATGTGTTCCTATTTCATCACCTCTTCCTTTGCTTCCTCCCACCCCTGACTCCCTGGCCTCACGCATAGCCCCTTTTCCTTCCTGTCCATCCTGCTGCTAACACTAAGATTTAGAGACGTAGAAGGTAATCATCCCTGGCAAGGTGCTACTTTGTTAGAGGCCCTAATCCTTGGGAAACTGGAGAGCAAATCAGATTCGGTCTGCCTGTGGGATCATCAACCCAATGGGCTGAATCACTTCCACCAACTTGAGGCCCATGAGTTATGGTGGACTTCTAGTGGTACCATGGCCAAATATGACTTTTCTACTCTATGTAAAATATGTGTGCTTTTAACACATACTTCTAGAAGCATATACCAACCCCAAAACCATTAGTCTGACTCATACTATAAATCATTCCTCTCCCCTAAGATGTGACCCAATCTCCGGCAGCAGGTGCTCCATATTTATGGATCTGAGTTCATCCTAACACTGAACACTCTAAAACAATGTAAAATTGATGCCTGATAAATCAGGGATAGTTTTCTTGGTTGTACTATATTCCTTCTAATGACCTGAAATAAGTGATTTATTTGTGTTTTTTGTTTTGCTGGGGTTTTTTGTTCACTTAGAAGTTGGGGAACAGGGATGGAGCTCACATCCGTCTCATAAGATAAAACCTATTTTCATATGAGGCGTTAAGTTATCTGAAAAAAACTAACTTTTGAATCATGGCCAGACTTGAAAATATTCTGTAGATGCTGTGTATCTTGGGAGAAGGTCATTCAATAATCAGCAGAGGCTAGTGGTCATGGGAGAGAATGGAATGATACGTATCTCACTCGTAGCTACTTCAAAAATCTGAAATGTGTGTTATTTTATAGGGAGCTGTTTGGTCTGGTGATTATCACAGTATGGATGGGCCTATGTCACAGTTCATCAAAGTAAGTTTTCAACTCATTAGCTAAAATCAGGTGTCTTCAAGTTTGGTCAGATCAGATAGGCAAGAGAAAGTACTGACATCTATATGCAAACCAGAATCTCTTGAAAGAAGTCTTTCCTTTTCTCAAGGAAAGCCAATGGTAGTTGAATCAGAGGTTCATGATCACCCACACTTTTCTAAATGCCAGTTTCTGTAATAGGGAGCTGTCAGCCAAAAGGGTGTTCTTTAGGGAGAGGGAAAACAATCTCACAGAGAAGCTTAGAGATTTACGAAAGCATGAAGAGCAAAGAAAATATAAAAGTGTGGGACCATATAGATGAATATTAACTTTATAAAACAGTAGTAATAATGTTTCGTGGGGCTTAAACATGTAAAGAATAAAAATACATGACAACAGTAGCATATAAGAAAATAAACAGAGTGAAAGTGTTCTAAGAACCTTGAAACAGCAAATTAAACCCAAAGAGACAAGAAAATAATCATAAAAGCAGAAACCAATGAAATGAAAACTCAACATAAAAAATGGAGGATTCAGAAGGCCAAATACCGGCTTTATAAAATGATTCACAGCATCGATAAGCCCTGCCAAGACTACAAAGGAAAAATAATAAAAGTGAGAGCAAGGAAGAGGAAGCAAAAATAGAGAATATCAGGAATGAAAAAGAAAATGTTACTACATATCCAACAGATCTTGCAAAAATCACAAAAGGATATCATGAACAACTCCTTGGAAATAAATCTAAAAATGTAGACAAAATGGATAAATTACTTTAAAAATACAAATTAGCAAAACTGACACAAGAAGAAATTCTCCAGAACAGTCCCATAGCTATTAAAGAAACTGAGTCCTCAATTTAAGTTTTTGCTAAAAGAAAACTCTAGACCAGATGGCCTAACTGGAGAATTGTACCTAATATTTAAGGGAAAAATAATGCCAACCTTTAACAAACACTTCCAGAGAACAGAAAAAGAAGAAACACTTTATAATTCATGTTATGAGGACAGAATAATCTTGATACCAAAACTTGATAAGAACATTTAAGGCGAGGGGGGACAAAGAAATTACACAGCAGTCTCCCTTATGACTACAGATTGAAAAATCCTAAACAAAGCATTAGGGAATCATATCCTGCAATATATAACCCAACCACCACGTTGGGGTTTATTCTAGGAACACAGTTCAACATTCAAAAACCAACCAATGTTTCCTATCACATTAACAGAATAAAGGAAAAACTAAACTATCTTCTCAATCTGTTCAGAAAGAGCATTTGGTAAGATTCATCATCTGTTCACAAGAGCTGTTGGAAAACAGGTGTAGAAAGGAACTGAACCTGGGCGCCTGGGTGGCTCAGTTGGTTAAGCGACTGCCTTCGGCTCAGGTCATGATCCTGGAGTCCCTGGATCGAGTCCCACATCGGGCTCCCTGCTCGGCGGGGAGTCTGCTTCTCCCTCTGACCCTCCTCCCTCTCGTGCTCTCTGTCTCTCATTCTCTCTCTCTCAAATAAATACATAAAATCTTTAAAATAAATAAATAAATAAATAAATAATAAATAAAAGAAAGGAACTGAACCTGATAAGTGGTGTCAGCACCAAAGTTGAGACTCCGTGGTGAGCAGCTGAAAACTTTCCTTCTGAGATCAGGATTGAGAAGGGATTAGCTACCACTTCCACTTCTGCTCAACACTGCTCTAGCTAGGATCATAGCCAGTCCAATAAGGCAAGAAAAAGAAATAAGAGGCGCAACAATTGGAAAAGAAAAACGTTCATTATCCGTGGCTGACAAAAAAAATCAAACAATCTAAAAAGTTACTAGAGTGAGTGAGTTTAGCATGATTGCTGCACATCAGGTGAATGTACTGAAACCAAATGCATTTTTATCAACAAGTAACAGAAAATGATAAAAACAAAAAGTTAACCATAAATAATAACATCAAGAAATCAACTCCCTAGGAGTAAATCTAGAAAGAGATAGGCAAAATTTCTATAAATAAGACCGTAAGACACTGGGAGAAATTAAAGACCAAAATAAGTAGAGGGATAAACCTGTACTGGTAAAAGGATAAACTAACGGAAGAGTAGAATCTAGGAACAGGCCCACACACAAGCAGACCCTTGACTTACGACAGAGCTACGTAGAACCGCAGGTGCAGCAAAGAAAGGCAGACTTCTCAACACCTAGTGCTGGATCAACAGAAATATATGGACAAACTTTCCCCAGCTAACTTCCATAAACCTCAATTCCAGGTGGATTACAGCTCTAAAGTGAGAAGCAGAACAGTTAAGACTTTTAGAGAAGATGACCCCAAATCTCCAAGACCTTGGGGAGGAAAAGCTTTCTTAAACACGACACAGAAATCATTAGGAAAAGATCAATTTTAACACTGCCTAATTAATCAGTGACTTCAGTTCCTCAAAAGACATCATTATGTGAGTGGGGAAAGCTGTTTGCAATACACCCAAACAACAAAGATTTGCATTAAGAATGAACTCCTGGGGGCGCCTGGGTGGCTAAGTTGGTTGAATGTCTGAGACTCTTTATTTCAGCTTAGGTCTTGATCTCGGGGTGGTGGGTTTGAGCCCCATGTTGGGCTCCATGCTGGCTGTGGAGTCTGCTTAAAAAAAAAAAAATGTGTTCACCAAATTCAACCTTTGTCCTTGTTTCCAAAGCAACCATTATTTTTATTGGATTTTTATTGTTAAGAATTCCTGTATGTCTTTATAGGAATCCGGTTGGTGGAAGAATTCAGCTGGCGACTGCCGTTACAATCACTCTCCTCCCATTTATCTCTTGGATCTACATCTACATAAACAAGGAGATGCGGTCCTCCTGGCCAACTCACTGCAAGACAGTAATTTAAATGAAGTCAAGAATCCTCTTCTTCAAATGAGTATTGTCAATCAATTGTTTATAAACGTGGTTGTAACAAGCCAATTTCCTAGGAGTTTATTTAGGTAATTTGAGCTAATTTTAGAGGTGATAAAAAAAATCCTAAGAACTTTCTGAGGATGCCTACGACACAGCATGGGATTGCATGGGACCGGTAAGAGACGGGGGTCTGACATTCAGTTGTCACAGTGTAGTAAAAAAGGCAACAGAACGAAAGTTCAGAAATGTGAATTCTAACTCAACATATCACTACCTATATGCCTTGGGCAAATATATGAACCTCCTGGTGGATGTCTTCATCTGTAAAATAGGATTAATACCAGATCTCCTACTCACTTGTACAGTTGCAAGGATTAAACTGGAGAATATGAGAGCACTCCAGAAATACCAAATGCTTGTAAGGGGCTACACATGAATGAAACAGAGGAAAGCAGGGTTTGAGTGATAGGATAGACACAGAGATTCAAGAAAGGGCTGTGCCCCTGCACTGAACTCACTCTATGGGACCAGGGCAGCACCATGAACTAAATGGGGATGCCAAATGAATGAGTGTGTCTTAGAGAGGAGAGTTAGGTAGAATAAAGGAATTGGGGACCAAAAGGAAAGAGGCAATATTAAATGCACTGCAAATAAAAAATAAGACCAAAATCTGTACACATTTTTTAAAAAATGAATGTCAAAGGTCACCCAGGGGAGAAGACCGTTTTGGAGCTGTACTCTCCAGTGTGTTAACTCTAGTACCATAACCATGATGCATACACACACACACAACATGGGAACATCACTATGGTGCACACATATATGACATGATAACATCACACAACCATAACATGTTGCATTGAGCACCTGAAATGTGGCCAGGCTGAGGAAGTAAAATTCTGCTTTTTCATTTTAATTTTAAAACATGTCAATTCAATCATTAGAAAACTTGTAAGTGTGTGTGGAACGCTTAGGTGTGTTTGGAACAATTGAAGTAGATGTGAATCTACTTCTTTAACTGCAGGTTTCATATCTAAATACAGATCAAGTATTTCCAGGGAAAATGTAATGTCAATGGATGGGTTATTAAATATAAAATAGATCCTGGATTTTAAAGACATAGTACAAAAAGAATGTAAAATATTCTTACATTGATTACATGTTGAAATGATATTTTAGATTTGAGTTTAGATATTTTAGAGTGTAGATATTTTAGAATTGAGTTTAATATAAAATATATCATTAAAATTAATTGTTATCTGTTTCTATTTACTTTGTAAAATGTGACTGCTTTCAATTACTTCAGTGGCTCACATCGTATTTTTGTTGGATGGCGATTTTTTTACATCTACTAGCATCAAAACACTGGAGTCAAGATTCCATTTCATGAGATTTAGGAAACACTTCACTCAAAACATATTCATATATATATATATATCAGGAGAGGGGAAATAAGTCAGGCCATTTGTCTATTTTTACAGCCTTTAATACAATATTACGTATTCTACAAATATTTGTTAAAGGAGGTATGTATGGTTTTTGTTTTACGCAATGGCCACTGGACAGGCAAAATTCTCTGTTAAGATTGAGATGAAGGAAAAGGAGAAAAAAATCTAGTCGATATTAAAACAAATAACGTGAAATTTATTTTAAGGGTCAATAAAATACGTATAAAGGATTCCGGGGCTCCAGTATACATTTAGCTTGCATGATGCGTCTGGTTTTTACATCTTTTAATGTAACTACTAAAATCACATAGGAAAAAATGGACTCATTTGCAAATTCCATCTAGGATCTACCTATCCTCCATGTAATGCTTGATTCTGTGCTTAAAAGACAGAAATGTTCCAATTTAAAAAAAAAGTGATGTTCCAAATAGACTTTCATCCTATCTGCACCTCTGGTATCACACTATGAATTCTGTGATGATACGCAATTCCTTTTATATATCTATGAGCACGGCCTCCTGAAAGGAGTCTTTATTACTGAGATTGTTGTAGACTCCAGTTCTCAATTGAATTTCAGGAAGCTCGATGTCTCTATTATCCAAGCGTCTGCCTTCCCACCCGTCTTTTTTCTTCCCTCTGGCAGGATCTCCACCAGCCTCTCATTACCGCCGCCAGCACTGAGACACAGATCGAATCACAGCTTCCCTGCTGTCTGACAAGCCCAGCTCTAACTGTGGGCTCATCGTTCAAGGCTCTTCACGACACAGGCCTGTCCGCTTCTTGCGCTACTTCTTGCCATAAACCCAGGCACCTTTCGGTGAATCTTCACAGCGTTACTCCTCACTCCTCAATTCAGCATGCCCTTTAACCTCTGCTGATGCTATTCTGCCCACCTGTCGAAACATTTTCCTCCTCCTTCAAGTCATCCCTCATCCCATTAAACAAATTTAAACGTCCCTCCACACTCCCAGGCCTTTCTTCCGAATTTGGTATCTATGGATGGTAAGGCCGGTGAATGCAGGGAGCACGTGACAGTCACCTCTCCCGTGGGCTGAATCATGGCCCTCGGGGATACCCAGGTCCTGGTCCCCAGAACCCGGGACCGTTACCTTGCACCACAAAACAGACTTTGCAGATACGATAGAGCTAATAAAGGTCTTGAGATGGGGAGATAAGCGTGGAGGTAATCACAGCTGTCCTGATAAGGCAGGCAGAGGGAGGTCTGAAGAGGGCCTTGAGCCAGGAATGGAAGGCAGGAAGCGGGCTCTAGAAACTGGGAAGGGCAAGGAAGCGGATTCTGCCTCGGAGCCCCCTGAGGGGGGACAACACCTTGAGCTCAGCCCAGGGAAAATGGTTCAGACTTCTGGCCTCCCGAACTGTAGGAGAGCACGTACGTGCTGTCTGAAGCCACCAACGTGGTGGCGGATTGGCCGAGCAGCCGCAGAGCACGAACACGCCTCCGCACCCCCAGAGCCTGGGCACTCGGCAGGCACGCTGACGCTGACGAGTACCGCTTTTTTCTCTCCTGATGTTTTCAGGCCCTGAGTCAAACTTTCTCTACATTTCAACAGTCCCTTTGCTATCCAGTAAGTGTTGCCACAAATAAGCCTTAGCACATAGGACAACCGAATTAACGTGCCCCATTTGTCTAGAAAGGGAGTCCAGAGTAAACTCATTTACCCGCTGTGGTCTCCAGCTGCGGGAGACGAGCTGCTGCCCAAAGAGGCCAGACCAGTGGGCACACGGCTGCGCTGGCCCTTGGTCTTGCTTTGCTTAGAGTCACAAGGCCACCGCGTGACTTCTCGGGAGGCCCTTCTCATGGCCTCACGCGGGAGAGACTACACAGTCACCTGTGAAATAACTTACTTGTTGTTAACACAACAGGGATACAAGCCTATAAATGTACAAACATGATGGGTATTCGGAGCAAAATGTCCAACGTTCATTCACACGGCAGGATACACAGAGAAAGTTTACCTGAGCTGATTTTATTTTTTTATTACGAATTTTAAGTTACATAGTTAATACACGGATACATCCTCATTGTAAAAAGTAAAAAAAATGTCAGATAAGGCTAAATGAAGTCAGTTTTGAGAACTATACCACCCGCCCTCTGTCTCCTCCCTGGCTGATTCAGGCTGCTTTCATTCATTTTGTTTCCAATCCTCAGCACTGGATAGATTATCCAAAAATGACATTTCAGAGTATCTCATGAGCTAACGCACACTGGGGCCATAAATACATTTTGTTATGCAAATAGAATGCTACACAATGAGCCTGAGGATTGGGGGGGGGTGGTAAACAAAAACACAACGCTCAACCACCACTCTCTAGAACGGTAAACAAGATCAATCGGACTAAAACTGGAAAGCGTTTTCCTTCTTATAATTCATAATTCTGTCTGGAACTCGGCCTCTCCCTTTCAACATCATTTTGTCAGGGTAGACATAAACGGTGCCAAAAGCCTGGCTGTCCGGAGCCGTTTCAATAACCCCTTCTAGGTTGATGTGGTGCACACCAAAAGGATCCTCGGAGTAGCCACCATCGTGAGTGTGACCAGCGAAGAAACACACCACACACTTGTGAGACCAAATGACTGCCAGGGCATCTCTGTAATTCCAGGCCAGGCACACACTGTCAGAGGCCTCTGGGTAAATGGGAAGATGGCCTGTTAGTTAAAGAGAAGAAGAGTTAGGAGCCAATTAGGAAATGTCTCTTTCATCAAAACAAATGGCGAGAAACTAATACACAGAAAAAAAAAAAAAAAAGGATATTGCTACTTATTTCAAATAGACTAAGACCAGAGAGAAGCACCAAATAATCCACAGCCACGTCTCTGCCACATACTGAAGGGGGGACAGTCCACATACACGGGGTGAGGCCACTGTCCAGGCAGAACCCCTGAGATCCCCATGGCCTACAGTGCCTGAAGAGGCACCAACCCCAAGAAAAACTGAGGGCATCCCATGCAGAACGGTCCGCGAGGATGGCCAGAAGCCAGGTAGATGCCGTGCTGGAGTCCAGTCTCTTGAACACGAGCGCTGGGTACACAGAAAGAGGGACCCCTAAACTTGAGAACAGCTTAGGGGTGGGTCATGGGTTGGAGGTCATTTATAGAGACACTCAGTGCTTTAAAACGGATTCGTGCCACGTTTAAACGCCGCCATGAGATCCTGGGAGCCGGAGCCATTTTACAGATGAGAAAAGCAAGGTAAAGCAGGGAGTATTTATACTCGGTCCCACAGGACGTACATGGACGTAGAGCCAAAGGATTTCGAATTCCTGACGCCAAGACACACACGAGGTCACGTCATGTCTCACTCTGGAGCGCGGGCACAAAAGCTCCCTCGGCTTTGCTTCTTGCCCTGAAATCACTTTCCTGTTTTGTTACTATTTACTTGTTACTGAAATTTATTCTGAATTTTTCCTATGAATATTTTTACTGTTTGATATCTATCAGTTTGTAATACAAGTTACAAAGGGCGGTGTTAACAGATCCCTGAAGAGTCAAAGGAGTCAGGAGAACTTATAAGTGTGCGCACACACACACACAACCACTCTTGAAGCTGTGATGACAGCTCAGAGTCCAAAGGGGCCGGCAACTCTCCAGATCGAGAGGCCACACTGGACTCCTGACACAGTGACCTGCTCCCCCTCCTTGAAACACTGGGCTGCCAGGACACCACCAGTCCCCCTTGACTTCCCCCAACCTCGATGGCCACGAATTCTCACTCCCCTCCGCGGGCTCCTAATCTCCCCCACTTCCTACTGGGAGTGCCTGAATGCTTGGTCCTTGGGCTCCACTTCCCTATTGACACCTAATGGCCTGGTGACCTTGTAACTTCTCGAATCTAGTATAAAGTGGCTGGTGATCTAGTAAAGTATCGAACGTCTCTGACATTCTCTCCATTCCCACATGTTTATACCCAGCCCAGACTTCCACTCTGAATTTCAGACTCAAACATCCAAACTGCTGACTCAACATCTCCACGGATGCCTGATGGGTGTCTGAAACTTAACCCTTCCATGGCCGAACTCCAGAACTCCCCACCTGGCACCCCTTCCTGCGGCAGTGTCCCATACATCAGCGAACATGTCAGCAAACAGCATGCTAGCCTTCCAACTGCATGGCCAAAACCCCACAGGTGGAGGCAAAATGACCTCTCAGTCCCTAAAATGCAAAGTCAAAGAGCAAACTAAAATGAAAGAGAATCGCCATTAGCCATTTAAAACTTTGCTAGAGAAAACCTGACGCACTCAGTTGCCAAAGGTTTGTTCATCCGGGTTCTGGGCTTACAGTGAAAGGGAGGAATTTAAGAGGCGGCTAATGTAGACAGGGGCCCTGACGGACAGGGTGGGAAAGGAGACGGGAGGGCCTCGAGTCTCAGCCAGAATCACATGCTACTGACACAACTAGGTCATTTAACCTCCCAGTCTCCCAATCTTTGAACTGAAAGGGCTGACGATAAGACGTGTAGGTCCCTTTCAGCTCCAGTATTCTCTGGAGTGACAGGCACAGCCTGACAGTGGGAAGCCAAACAGCAGAGACACATCGAGAAGTGTTCCGGTTCTAGAGACCACCTACTTAGCGCCAAAGAGGGTCACGACGCGCGATAACCGCCGAGGAATCCTGTACTCTCCGAGCCTGGGATAACACTTGGAATTCCCATGACAGCACACACACTCCTACTCCATCTACACGTCTGCCCCACATCGGGGAAAGATTCGCAAGTATTTATGGAAATATACTTTTAGATCATCAACTATCAGAATAGCTTGTCATTTTCAAGGGGTTTTCACGTTCGTAATTCCATTTGGTGCAATCCAGAGAAAAACCGCAGTTTGTAGGTTCAACATTTACGCAGACTCACACAGCTCACAGAAGCAAATGCACACAGACCAGCCTCCCGTCCTTGGGACCCCAGGCACGGTCCTCTCCGTCGTTCTGCCACATCAGTTCTAAAGCGAGGATCTAAACTCAGTGCCCAAACCAAGTACGCCAGCCACACTGCAAATCCAAATTCAGTCCCCCGTGTGCACACACCTGCAGCTGAGTGTATGTTAAGCACCCCGATTCGTACGACCTGTGATGACAGCGTGTCTGGAAAAGACATTCTAGGTGGAAATAACAGCAATCTTACTTCCTTGCGAACACATGGCAGAGAGTCTAGAACCGCAGTACTCACTGCCAGGTGAGTCTCTGACGCGTGTCCTATTACGAGCTTCGCTTCCAACTAGACAGCAGAGGCCCCCGGCCGGCAGCCACCACACCGACGGGCAGGTGTCCTGAGGCTGAGGTTGGGTATGGGGCCTGGCCTGAACTGCTCACTCAGATATCACAGTTGACCCGTGAACAAAGGTTTAGACTGCGCGGGTCCACTTATCCACACATTTTTACAGTAAATACAGAAAATACAGTGAATGTATTTTCTCTTCCTTGTGATTTTCTTAACGTTTTCTTTTCTCTAGCTTACTTATTGTAAGAAGGCAGCGTATAATACACACAACGTACAAAATATGCATCAACCAACTGTTATCGGTAAGGCTTCTAGCCAACAGTAGGTCATTTGTAGTTAAGTGTCTAGAGTCAAAAGTTGTACGTGGATTTTCGACTGTGGCGGGGGGGGGGCAGCACCCCTAACCCCCCCACTGTTCAAGGGTCAACTGTACTATGCAAAATGATCCCATGTGCTGGAATTCCACTCGGAAACCCAAAAGGCCAACGTACAGGCACTAACACATGGCAAGATGTTTTTTCTATTTTACGGTTCTTTCCTGACCCAGCTGTAAATGTCAATCTTATACTCAGGTTCTCAATAAAGAAAGGTAAGCATTCATTTGACAGCAAGAGGACACCACGACATAAATATTATTAGTACACTTTCGAACCCCACTTTCCCATTCTCTAAAATGCTGGCGTAATCAAGTAATTTAAATACTTACTCACAATCACCACTTTTTCCTGGTTTGTGTCAGAGAACGTAAGAACTTCATTCAACCAGTTCAGCTGCTCTTGGCTGAATCCTCCGTTAAACTGGACAAACTGGGGCTCAGAAAGTCCTGAAATGAATGCAGTATGTCAGACCCATCCAATGTCAGCTTCTTCCTCCTTTGGGCATGCACACTTGGCTAATGTGGGGACCCCTGTACTTTTCTGTAGGAATGTGCGGCAGCAGTTGACTTAAAATAAGAAACCACAAGAATTTACAGCAACCCAGACAGATAAATGGCCTGCACCCACTCAACTGCTTACCTCGCTAGCTCCGCGTTACACTGAAAACAAAACACAGCCTTCTGACCGTGTCCACGGGCCACACAAAGTCACCTTGTGCCCCGCTGGCCTTTTCCTGAGTCCTTTAATGATGCTAACATGTCACTCCACTCACGCTTTTCCATCTGCCCCCCTCTCTGTCCTGAATACTCCGCCCACCCCACACTTCCCAAGGATGATGACTCCTTCCAATCATTTAGGTTTCTGCTTACATGTTTTTCTCCCGGGAGAGACCACCTCTGACCAGCTAAGCTAAAACACTACCCTGAGTCCTTTTCTTTAACCTTACACATAATTTTCTTGGTAGCATTTATTGCTGCGGACGTAATTCTATTTGTTCCATTTATGGTCTGTCCTGCCCGCCTACTTCTCTTGCTTCCTCCACTCCATCCGTCAAAAGATAAACAAAGGTGACCCTGTCAGCATTGCTTCCGGCTCTGAAGAGCCAGCCCTCGAGAGAGGGCCCGGCCCAGAACAGGCATTCGGATACCCGTTAAATAAATGAATCTTGAACCAACAGCAGCCAATCCACGCGCCGGGAGAAATCCTGACCCTGAACAACAGTGACAGTATACTTTTACCTTAATCATCCATCTTCCTGCTGAATAAAAGGTAGCTGAAGAATGGAAAGACAATGTATTAGACTCTCAGCTCAAAGGAATAATTCACCTTGCGGACTATTCAACTCCGAATTTGGATTGTGCTCCTTCAGTATCTTCAGACATTGCTGGTATTTTGGAGAGGACTGATCCACGCCTAAGACACTCAAGTCGTAAGCATCCAGTAAAATGAACCGGAATTGAGGGAATGGGACAAAGTGATAAGCATAGTAATCCTCCGAAGGCACAGTCTCGGGATGGTGCACAATCTGGTCTTCTAGAAACTTTGTGTTAAGCTTAGAATTTGTTAGGTAGTTTCTGCTGAAGTTATAGAACTCGTGGTTCCCCCACGTGTGATGAACGGGGACTTTAAGCATCTGGAAAGTGTTCATAACAAGTTCGAGCGACTTTTCGGACACTTTGTACTGTGCGTTATACCCGTCAATGATATCCCCGAGCTGAAGAACACAGCGGGGCGGGCTGCCCTCCGTATTCCAGTGTTCAATAGCCCTCCGTAAGTGAAGCAGACTGTGTCTGTAGTATCTTCGTCTGTTTCCTTGGAAGTTATAGCCATCTTCTAAATCAGCGTACTGGATATCTGCTATCACTCCAAAGGAGAAGAGAACTTCCGAATTCTCACTCAGGGCTCCAGGGTCAGGCTTATCGTCCATAACCTTCAAACGGGTTTCTAAACAAAATAAAGAACATAACTACACTATAAACACCTTACTTTTCTAAATGGGCTGCAGAGGATGGTAAAGTATTAACAGTTAATCCGCCAGGTAGCGTGGTAGAGAGAAAAGCACATGGGCCTTAAAGTCCAATTGTCCTACAGCCAAAGTACCGAGTCTCTGAAACAGTTCAGTTTTCTCATCTGTAAAATAACCTCTATTCTCCAGAAGAGTAATTTACAAAAGGGTATTATCCTATTAATGAACAGGTATTCTAAATCCAGAAAAGTCAAATTCACATCTGGTAGAATTTGTAATTTTTAAGAAATACACACTAGTTTGTTACACACTTACATATACATACACACAGACACACACACACACAGACACACACAGTACTTTCTTCCACAAACACCAAAATAATTCTATCGAAACTTCAGGATTCTTTTTACAAAAAATTACATATTACACTCATTCATTGTACTTTATACATTAGATTCCCACTACAGATTATTTCATGTCAGGCTGGATCTTTTGTCTTCTTTGGTGGGTAGGTCACTTGAAAGAACTTGGCTCATATTTTATATCTGGGATAACGGGGGAGGAAATGAAGAAAAAGGGGAATCATTTTAAACAAACAAAAACTAACTATAATATTGATGTGACTATCTTCATTTCTGACAAATGGTTCCTGATTCTTCAGTTGTTGGATTCCAATCTGAACCAGCTTTTCTTAACATGAATCTTAACTACCCTGTCCCCAAAACCAAAACGGAAAACATGTCCTCTTTTCTTCTCACACGTGATCTGCGCCCTGCCACACTAGCCAAGAATAAGGGATTTAGACCTGAAAAGCTATTGTTTTACTAGATTGTTTACAATCTAAATTTATAATCATTTCTAATGCCTCAAAAGAGCCAAGAACACTAAAGATTAAAAATAAAAACCAGGGGGGGCGCCTGGGTGGCTCAGTCGTTAAGCGTCTGCCTTCCGCTCAGGTCATGATCTCAGGGTCCTGGGATCGAGCCCCACATCGGGCTCCCTGCTCCACGGGAAGCCTGCTTCTCCCTCTCCCGCTCCCCCTGCTTGTGTTCCTGCTCTGGCTATCTCTCTCTCTCTCTGTCAAATAAATAAATAAAATCTTTAAAAAAATAAAAACCAGGGGCGCCTGGGTGGCTCAGTCAGTTAAGCATCTGCCTTTGGCTCAGGTCATGATCCCAGGGTCCTGGGATTGAGGCTTCCGGCTCATCGGGAAGTCTGCTTCTCCCTCTCCCCCTCCCCCCTGCTTGTGCTCTCTCTCTTGTTCTCGCTCTCTCTCGCTCTTTCTCTCAAATAAATAAAATCTTTAAAAATAAAATAAAAACCAAAGGCCATGATCCTAGAAGATCAACTATTCTTATTATAAAGTCTACAGTACTACACTGTGCTGTGGGATCGAAGCATATTAAAGCCTCGCTGTTTCTAAAAAAACTTCATGTGTAATTTCTAAAATTACTTCTCGACTCCTGGCCTCCAGCAGCCCACTACAGCTACCGAGCTCTCTTCAATCACCCACAGATACGTGACATCCTAGCTGACGGAGCACTGCTGTCCGAGGCGGGGGTGACAAACTCCACAGCCGGCAAGAGGGCCGGGCGGCAACCTGACTTCCTTGAGAATTAGAGGCCTCTTTTCATTCTGAAACTGTTGTCACGAGGGACACACATTCTATGTGATCCACCCAATTGTGAGCTTAATCGGGTTGTGTATAACTAGCCCTAACAAAGGTATCAAGCAGCATTAGAAAAAGGCTGGAAATCCTGAAAAATGGCTTGGTGTTCTGACACTTTTTTTTTCATTTGCTTGTTTCGTCCTGCAGTCCCCATCTGAAAACCCAGTAGATATCAAGCCAGCTGGTATGTCTCAGGGTGGGTGAGATCATCTGATCTGAAGGGTGAAGAACTCAGATACAATAAATATAGAATTCATCTAAGTTACACGAAAATCTGTAGTCTCACTAGGTTTCAAATGTTTGTGATTCAAAGTACAGATTAATAGGAGATTTCAACCAGAAGTTAACTGGGTACATGTATCACTGGAACATTATTACCAAAGCTTAAGAGAAAACAGTTTCTGGGGAGGCTTTTATCCTTTGCCAAATGAACTTGTTTGTTTTCGTCTTTAAACTCAGAGGCTTTAAGGTGATAATCTGTACTACCGATCTCTTGAGGGGGAGCTTTTAGTCCCAGTTAATCTGATCTTCTAGGAGAAGCTATTATTTGTGCCTGCCTAGCCAGTACTCATCTCCTGTTCATCTGGTAACAGCACGCCCTGGTCTCCCTAGGCATCTATACAATCCTCGCTCTCGGTGCCTGTTGCTGTGACCTTCACCCCCTGGCTGTGCAAGTGTCGGAAAGGGCACACATGTGACCCTGGCCTAGCTCTCTCTCAAATAAATAAAACCGTAAATACATAAACAAACAAACAAACTCACTCTCCTCTGAGTCAAGCCAAACTGAACTGGCTCTAAGATTCCTGTCGTGTTATACAAAAAGTCCCGTCAGATACACCTTCCACTGGAATACAGTTCAGTTTAGAGAAACTTAAGGGTAAACTAAGATTTGCCAACCTTTTAAAGAAAATTAAGCAATGTGCAGAGAAGCAATAAGGGCCACACACTGCAAAACAGTAATGTGTTTTGGGGTAGAAAAGAGATCTGCCATGTCGAAGACATAGGGCTTTTAAAAATAAGGCTAAGGGCAGGGAATATACAGTTTTATGAAATAAAGAAATTATTTTTTAAAACAGAAGTGTAAACTGATACTGTCATCTGTTAAGAGAAAGATACGAAGCAAGGAGGAGGGACAAGGCCACATGCAAGGAAAGACCGTGAGGATCAGAAGTGAGTTGGGCGGGTCCCAAGAACTCAAGTGGGCAGGGAACAGATTCTCCTGACTAGTTCAACATCTTTTATTGTATGGTTCTGGGAGGTGCCAGGGAGCTCAGAAAGACTGGTCCTGGTGGCCAGAGAGATAAAAAAAAAAAAACTCAAGACACCTCCCATGGGGAAACGCACAATTAATAAACATGCCAATGCCATGAACTTTTCAAAATACCCTCCATCCTCCACCAGACACACATGGGTACGAGGTTCACTCTCGCTGCTTTTATGCGGGTTTCAAGATGTCTATAGTACGAGGTTTTTAAAAAGTATTTTTAGAGAAGATACAGTCTGAACGAATTAGAAGACCTAAAACCTAAGACCTCTGAAAAGAAAGGAAAATCCCAAGTTTTACGTGAACTTTGTTCTGAAAGTCTGGAGCGCACCATTATATGTGAAGTTACCCAAGTTGCAGTTAAGAGGCAGTGGGACGGCTGCTGAAAGCTTTGAGACTGAAAACCTGGAAGGGAATTTTAGTCCCAGTTTTTCCTACAGGGAAACAATTCATCGGCACTTGTGAGATTCAACTAGCATATACTGTACAATAATCTACTTTTGTAAATCGTAAAGCACTACCTATGTGTTATTTTTTAATTATCTGAAAACATACCTGCCTAGTGAACCTCCAGATAACTGAAACTCCCGCAACATTTTATAGAACAGAATAGTATAGAAAACTTCACCAGAGTTTCAAAAATTCTATTAATGAACTCCTACAAAAATTCACAAAATTTCCAAAAATTCCAACAGAAAGTCATGGTGTAGGATGAGCAGCCAGCGGTTTGTGAATACCTCCTTAGGCATCAATGATGTTTAACAATAGGAAGAAACACCAGGGATGCCTATTTGCTGGAAACTTGCTACAAGACGATACTAAGAAAACTTCCGTAATAAGATGGCAGAAGGCCGAAGCTCCTTGTAGAAGCCTCTCAAGCATCTACGATGAATTAGCAAATGAAGATAGTCCTACACTCTTGTCAAAGGAAGGGGTGGGAGGACACAGCAGGACATTAGTAAGGAGAGATGGTCAAAGGGAGCTACTGCAACAGAGAGACGCCCAGGCCTAAGCCAGAAGTATCTCAGGGAAGGGGGCAGGTCAGGTAAGCAAAGCCTTTCTATGCAGAGCCCATGGGACAGGCGGCCCTGGAAAGGAAAAGGGGGGGGGGGCGGGGGGTAGTGGGAGCAGTCTGGATTTTTAATTGTGCTAAGTAGTGCAATGACAGGAAGGTTGAGGCTGGAAATGTTTGTGGCAAGGGACAGGGGGCAGAAGCAGCCAAGTTACAGTGCTGGGAGGGTCACACAAAGTTAGGGCCTAGCCGTCCCAGTCAAGACAGCCCGGAGTGACCTCATGCACAAAATCTGACCCGCCTCATCACTATGGACAGAACAAACATCAGATGATATTACGTATATTCTGTCTCTTTCAAAAAAGGTATCTATATTGAAGGAAAAAAAACTCATTTGCCAATCCTGGTGGTTTAAAAGTAGTAATGAGGGCGCCTGGGTGGCTCAGTCGGTTAAGCGACTGCCTTCGGCTCAGGTCATGATCCCAGGGTACTGGGATCGAGCCCCACATCGGGCTCCCTGCTCTGCGGGGAGCCTGCTTCTCCCTCTGCCTCTGTCTCTCTCTCTGGCTCTCATGAATAAATAAATAAAATCTTTAAAAAAAAAAAAAAAAGAAAGAAAGAAAACGGTCTTAAGACTAATAGGCTGGGGCCCGGGGGCGCCTGGCTCTGTCAGTGGAGGAAGCGACTCAATCTCACGATTTTGAGTTCGAGCCCCATGCTGGGCGGGGAGCCTACTTTAAGAAAAAGACCCATTGAGGGATGCCTGGGTGGCTCAGTCGGTTAAGCGACTGCCTTTGGCTCAGGTCATGATCCTGGAGTCCCGGGATCGAGTCCCGCATCGGGCTCCCTGCTCGGCAGGGGGTCTGCTTCTCCCTCTGACCCTCTTCCCTCTCGTGCTCTCTGTCTCCCATTCTCTCTCTCGCAAATAAATAAATAAAATCTTTTTAAAAAAAAATAAATAAATAAAAATAATAATAAAAGTAGTAATGAAAGTGACAGGTTTACGCTAGACATCATGTTAGGTATCTTCTAACACTAGATTTCACAGGTCGGAGAAATCAGGCTCAGAGGTGTTATCAGCAACTCGTCCCACGTCTAGTCACAAAACACCTCCTTTGAGTCAGGAACGGTTTTAGAAGCTAGTATTTTACCTAATATTATACACTTAATACGAAAAAGTTGTACAAAAATGCTTTGGTAAACAAATTAGGGATAAACCCGGTAAAAGAATCACTTTGGCAAATGAAATTTAACAGAGCAGCTAAAAACGACACTGAACTTTAATTTATACGACTGACATCATTCACATCCAGCGGAGCAATGAGGAAGATGAACAAAGACTGTATATGCTCCTCGCCTGAACGAGTAAGGTATTTATTTGTGCGTCTTTCTGGCAATTGGAAGAAAAACCTCCCCCGGGGGCAAAGAAATACACAGACAGAAGCAGGTTAAAAAAAAAAAAAATCTCACCCACGGGTAACCTCGGGACAGAAAAACCAGTTCGACTGAGGACGATGTGAGGTGCCCCATGTCCTCGGAGCGGGGCTTCCAGAAAGCTCCAGTTCGCCTCGGGGAGGAAGAAACGTGGCTGCGAGCAGAGTCCGGCGGGGCTGCCGGGGAGGAGCCCGCCCCCTCGGCCGGCTCCCGTCCCACGAGCCCTCGGCCCGCTCCGAGCCGCTCCTCCGGCTCGGGGGGAGCTCCGGATCCGAAGTCAGGGAAGAGAATCAGGCTGTTCTCCCGCCCGCGCTGTCTGCGTTTTGCCAGCGCGGAGGCGCGGTGCACACGCACGGGAGGGACACGCGGCAAAGGGGCCGCGCGTGCAAGCCCCGCTTCGCCAGCGGCCCACGGACGCTCTGCGCCCAAGAACACGCGGCTGGCCCCGCAGGAGACGCGCGCGGTGCCCGGTGAGGCCCGCACCCGCCCACCTCAACCCGGGAAGGCCCAGCGCCGAGGGCAGCCGGCCGGGGCGTCCTAGGACGCGGGGGCCCGGCGGCCGGCTGACTCAGGGAGGGGACCCGGCGCAGGCCCGGCTACGTCGTGCGGAGCTGCTGCTGCCCGCGAGCGGACAGCGCCCGGGGCTCCCCGCCCCGGCCACTCCACGGACGCCGGTGCGCAAGTCCCGAACGGGCCGGGACGACGTCAAGGGCAGTGGGGCGCCGGCGCCCCCGGAGGGAGGCAGCGGGTCCGCGCCCCGCGGCTCGGGGCCGGCCTCCAGGCGGACGACGGGGCGACGCGGGCGGGGGCCGGGGGAGCGCGGCTCTCCCGGCGGCGCCGCCCGCGCCGCGAAGCCCCCGCCCCGCCCCGACCGGGCCCGCCTCCAGACGCCAGGAACCACCTACCGCGCGTCGGCTCCACAGCCCAGGGCTCCCCGGCTACCGGCTGGGCGACCTCGCCGCCAAAGAGTTGAGCGCACAGAGCGGCCCGCAGCGACTTCCGGGGGAAGTGGAACGGCGCCGGAAGTCGGGGGGCGGGCCAAAGCAGGCGCGGTCCCCCGAGCGCATGGCGGGGCTCTGGCTGCTCCGCCGCCCCGGCGTGCGGCTTCCGGGGGGCCGACTTTGGCGGCTGCCGCCTCACGGGCTCGGCCGGGCCCCGGCGGAGGGGGCCGCCAGACTCGGGCTGAGGCAGCTCGGCGCGCGGCGCGAGGAGGCGCGGCAGGCCTCGGAGCCGGCTCGCAGCGGCCGGGGGGGCCGGCCCTTGAGCACGGGCATGCCGCCCCCTCCAGGGTCGTGCGGCCCCGAGCCGAAGGGCCGCAGAGACCCCACGCGCCCCTCCAAGCCCGGGGTGAGTGCACACCTGCGGCCCTCTCTTTGCTCGTCGCCCCTGCACGCCGCCCTTCGGCCTCCCCGTCCCGCTGGGCGGTGACCCCGGAAATGCTCCCCCGCTCGGCCCTACCGGCGGGGGTCGCACGCTCTCCGCCCTGCTGTCCCTGCTTCGCGCGTAGTCCAGCCCGAAAGGCAGAACCTGAGAACTGACGCTTTCCCCACGCGGCCGCGTTCTCGGGCTTGGGTTTTAGTTTTGCGTCCCGTCCTCCCAGAATACCCCGAAAATAGGGTTCGGGTTTTCCTGGGGGTCCCGGCCTTAAGTTGACCACGATTGAGGAGTCAGAGCGTGTTCGTTTGTGTCTCGTGAAGCCGCTTTAGAGGTTCGGGGTGTGTGTTGGAATTAAGCAAAATGTGCGTCGTAGTTGCGTGCAGGGAATGCCTTTTTCTTTGGTTTCTCCCAGGTTCCAGTCCTGACCCCCACTACGCACTAGTGGTGGGTAAGAGAAGTGGGCTTTAGAGGCTGGGGGAGGACGGTTAGTCGGTGAGGCCGAGGGAGTCGACATCTTACTAACCTTGGGACTTGGAAACGAGGGAAAGGGAGTAATTTGCAAGAAGCTCCGTTTCTGCTTCGGCTTTGTTACTTCTGGAAGCCAGAGTTAGGTCAACCTCCCGAATTTTATTTATGTTCCCAGTATCAGCACAATCACATAATTAACTGGTTTTCAAATCAGCAGTTGGGAGTCAGGGTCCCACTTAGTAACAGTCGTGGGACTTGAGCTTTGGGTGTCTTTCACATGAAATGCACTTAAGGACTTTCTTTCGCCTTGGGAATGAATGCTTCTGTAATTGGGGTCACAGCCCAGATGTCAGTGCGCCCAGACTCTGTTGGTAGGTACTTTTTCACCCCAGAGCAAAGTGGAAACATTGTACATATTTAACAGAATCAAGACCTGTATTTATGTGTATTAAAAGCCAGGATAGTAAACTTAGTATGGTTAAATGTTTGCATCTTACTGGTGTTTTTCTTTGAAATCTGTGCCCCAGTAGCCGGTTTCCTGGAAGTCTTTGGCATTCACATTTGCAATTGGTGGAGCTTTATTGGCTGGAATGAAGTACTTCAAGAAAGAAAAGACAGAGAGTAAGTAGATATCTATCCTCCTGTCAGCTCGAAATAAAATCCTTTTCTAACGTTTTTTATTTTGTTTTTAAAATTCTTATCTTAAATAATTTTAGATGAACAGAATAGTTATAAAGATGGCATAGAGAGTTCCTATGGACCTTTCACCTGGCTTCCCCTACTGTTAACAAATTATATAACCATGGCTCATTTATCAAAATTAAGAAATTAAAATTGGTGCAATACTCTTCGCTTGATTTGGAATTCGCCAGTGTTTTGTCTTTTATCTGGTCCAGGATCCAGTCCAAGATACCACTTTCTAACAGTATGAAAAGACTTACTGTGGACAGGTTTGGTGGTGGGTGGTGAAGCCTGGAGGGTACAGAGATGACCAAGATGCATTCCAGCCATTGAGGTGCACATGACAGGGAAGCAGGCACAGAATTAAAGGATTTCACTAGAGGAGGTTCTGCCAAGCCAGGGGGAAGCCCAGGATGCTCTGAGGCCCGAAGAAGGGCCAGCCCCTACTGCAAAGTACTGAGTATGCAGAGGGAGAGGCCAGAGGCTGACCACGGATGATGAGCAGAGATTGGGAGAACGTGGTCAGGGGGTGCCAGGAATGGCTTTGGATTAACACGGGAAGTGTTTAGACATTGTTTGCAAGAACTCCATACTTCAGTGAATAGTCCAGACTTTTAAGATTTGGTTTAAAGGTTTCCAGTAAACCTTTAAAATATCACTTAAATCGGTTTGGGTTCTTTAGAGTCTCTTTTGATGCCATGATACAAAGGATGTGTTTAAATCTGCAAGAATTCATAGGCTTTAGAATCTTAGCAATATAAGATCCGTATCGACAAGTAGATGTGTTTCTTTTGTATAACAACCAGTGTTTTATTGATGTGATTTTCATACTCCTAATGAGAAATTAAGTTCCTTTGGTTTCACAAAGAAACAAATCTGAGAAGCTGGGAAAGTAGGGGCAGACAGTTCTGGGATATGCAAACTTTTGACTTTAGTTTGGAATTTCGCCTGCAGTAGTATTTGTTTAATAAAGAAAATTACTATGAAACTATTGAAAGTATTTCTAAATTATCTGAGAGCATTTGCCGACATGACGCCTCATCAAATGCTTCACTGTGTACATTTTACAAACAAGTACGTTCTCCCAACATAATCATAATGCAGCCGTCAAAATCAGAACATTAACATCGACATGTTAACTGCCATTCAGCCTTCAGACCTTATTCAAGTGTTGCACCTTGATGTTCCTTATCGCAAAAGGATCCGGGTCAGAACCATTCTTGTACCTACTTGTCTCTTTAGTCCCCTTCCATCTGTAGCAGTTTCTCAGTCTTGGTGTGACTTTCATGACCTTGAAAACTTCAGTATTTTATAAAATGCCTCTTGGTTTGAGTTTGTCTGATTTCCTCACGATTAGATTCAGGTCATGTCCTTTTGGCAAGGATACCACAAAAAGTGATGCTGTGTTCTCACTGCTTCTAGTCTGGTACCATGTGATTTCATTTTGTCACATTACTGATAATGTTCATTGATCATGCATGAGTCAGCCTTCTCTACCGAAAACGTAGTTAACGTATGTTTTGTGGTGTGTATTTACATATGTAAATATTCCAGTCCCCGCCAAACTCCCTGTGCATGTATGTCCATACCAACTGGTGCTTTCCTATTTATTCCGAGAACTGTAATCCATATTCTCTTTATTTTGATGCTTTCCTATTTATTCCGAGAACTATAATCCATATTCTCTTTATTCTGATGCCCAGATTGTCCCACATTGGTCCCTGGGAGTCTGAGCAACTTCCTGTTCCTTTTGACCTGCCTCCAATGTTGAGTTCTTCCTTAAATCTGGCTCTTGTACTTCCTCCTCCGTGGCCCCAATACCAGCCATTTCTCCAAAAAGCCCTGTTCCTTTTAGTGGAGGATGATATTTAGAAGTCAGGAGACGGGCTCATCGCTTCTGGGTCGTGTTTGCTCCAGGGTCCTCTCCGTGGATTGAGCTAGAAACTAGATGTGTGTACTTACATCTCCATTTATTTCCGTATCTCTAAGTATCTCAGCCACAAGCTCCCACTGGCACCTGCAGTCTCGGCTCGACGCTACAGGGTGCGTCCTGAGTCTCTCCGTCCATCTTTCAGCCTCTTCTGCCATGTGTGACTCTTACCTGTAATCTGCTTATTTATGGTTCATCCCTTGTGTGTAACTAAGGTCCCATGGCCCCTGCCCCTGCCCCATTCAGATGCCCGCCTCGGGACACTCTGGCTAAGACTCCAGACGGCAGCCCCCGCCCTGGTCATGGCCACGCCTAACGACTTGGCTGAATTGTTCCAGAAGAGACAGCAGCATCTTTACTGCTTTTTCTTCTTGGTCCTTACTACACACCATAGCATTTGATTTGATTTTGTTCATTGTTGGATCCTTAATTTTCTTAGAAGATTTCTTAAGCTGATTGGAAACAGACTGTTTTCCACAGTCTGTGCCCCCACGGTCGTGAGTATAGAACTGACCATACATCGGGCATTTCGGTGCCTGTGGTTAGATTGACTTTTGTAACGTGCGTGTTTGTATCTCTTCAAGAGCTGGAGAAGGAACGGCAGCGAAGCCTGGGGAAGCCTTTGCTGGGGGGCCCGTTTTCCCTCACAACACATACTGGAGAGCCCAAAACGGACAAAGACTACGTGGGTCAGTGGGTATTGATTTATTTTGGTTTCACTCATTGCCCTGATGTCTGTCCAGAAGAACTAGAAAAAATGATTCAAGTCGTGGATGAGATAGGTAAGCCATCACTGACTATAAAAAGTACGTTTACTTAATGTCCTTAACGTTACCACGCTTTTCACGTTCTCCTGTTACTGTCAGGTCGGGTGTTGTGATCATTTGGGTTCATTGTGAGAACATAAAATCTCAGCATCGCGCTTGTTCGCTGCTTTGATTCCTGTGACCGTATCCTCTACCAGAGGGAGCTTTCAAATGCCGGGAGGTCTGGTTTCCCATAGCTCTGCATTGTGCCCCTTCCTTGACTGTAGACGCCCATCACTGACCCTGCCTTCGTGCACGTGACACACAGACTGGAAAGTCACTGGTACAGTCTGTGCTGTGCAGTCAGCCGCATTTA